TCACCCACATCCTGCCCCCGGACCAGGCCCCGGGCCCGGATCCGGACCTGGACCCGGACACGGAGCCATCAACAGCGAACTTTACTACGGGTCTACGAAGTACGACAAATATGGAAGCACAGGAGTATCGCCGTATGTCAGCAATCCGTATGCGGGTCCATCGATAACGCAATCCTATGCCGGCCGGAATTTGTGGTCAGGTACGGAGAACGCGCCTTTAAGTTCCCGCCAGAATTGTTGCTCTCAGGGATACCCCCTGAACCAGCAGAACTGCTATTACCCGAGGGGCAATGGTTACGGATCTATTTCCGGACCGTATGGAACATCCGCAAGTGCCCCGCAATCGCAACCTCAATATCCGGGCACTGGATCCTCCGCCGCAGCCATGAAGCTCAAGCATCCGACTGATATGTACGTGGGCCACGGCCCCTACGAAGCCACGCCCAGTCAACTGAGCTATGGATACAGCCCACAGGCGCTGCCAGGTTCCACCACATCGAATAACCTGAACAGCCAGAGATATACGGCGCCAATGGGATTGGGAATGGGTGGCATGGGAATAGGTATCGGCATGGGTATGGGAATGGATCCCGGGAGCGGGGGCTACTACAATGATCTGGGTCTCAACACCTTGGACAGCTATGTATCTCCGTCGATGCCGCAGCAGCCCCTGCGGACGCAACCCTATCAGGATTATCGCAAGAGATCTGGAATTGTTGGGCCCACCTCCTCGGCAAATTGTTATCTTGGACAGACAGGAAATTCAGGTGGCGGATCCCTCACCAACCTCGATGCCCAAGTGGAAAACTATGTGGGCTTCAATCTCCACGCCTCGGCGCCCTCCAACCTAGCCTACAGTGTGGAGTCGACAAAAGGTACCCAGAATTACAACATCCGCGACTTTCTCTCCACCTGGAAGGTTGACGACGAAGATGAAACAAATGCTGTTCTCGAGATGGATCCCCCGGCCGTGGCGGTGGTGGCTCCAGTACCGAGTACCCCCAACTTTATGTACGAATCTCTGCCACCGACTGGACCTCAAGCCACAGCAGTCGTGGATCATCAAGGCATTAACTTACCGGACATAATTATAGACATTGAAAAGGCCAGTGGAAACGGCAGTGGTCCCGTGGACGATTCCTTTGGCAGTTTCGACGTGGAGAAGGAGCTGGATGAACTGCGTCTGAAAACGAATGCCTCTGAGCAACAACCCGTTAACGAAAGCGATGCCTTGGCCGAGATCCTCCGACCACCAGACTCGGATTCATTGATCGAACAATCTGCTGCTCCTCCCTTGCACAGTCCCATTCTTAGCTGCAATGAGGCCTATGAAAATGTACCACAACCACCTGTGCCTATGGACTTCGATCAGAACAACAGCTCAAACTCAAACGAATCCACCTTTGCTAAGGAGTACGAGACGTTTATTCACAAAATCGATGGTTCCGAGAGTGACCCCGGAGAAGGGGCTGCCCGGGCTGAAGGGGAGTGTAGAGAGAGTCCAAAAATATTTAAGTTCTATAAAAGGAAGCGCAGAACCACAGATCCCCAGGAGAGGGTGGATCAAAAGGATGAGGAACAACCGGTGAGGGTTTGCAAAAATCAAAATGAAATCCCTATTTCGGCTAAAACTTTGGCCAGAGCCAGTCAAAAACTTCTTGAAAAAAAAAGTCGAAATCGCATTAATTTGCTAAAGATCCTGGAGTTCGAGAGCCCAAGAATAAAGTATCGGCACTACTTTAGCATACTGAAAGTTTTGCGAAAGAAAACCGCCTCTAGTAAAAACAGAGAACTCCGATCCATCCTAATGAAAAAGAAGTTGACCATATTGAAAGAGAAACGGCTGCCTCTGATCAAGAGGCTGATGAAGAAATACGATGCGACCCCGGATCTGCGCAATCCCCCCAGTCTCAAAGGGCTGAGTGTCTCGGCTTTGAATTCCCCCGAATTCAGAAGCAGCATACTGAGTGGAACAGATCGGGAAACGGTCATCAAGAGTGCGTACAGCTACAAAGATAAGACTGATGAAGTTCATGAAGAGCCAAATGTGGAGGAGCAGGGCTTGGACAGCAGCTCCCTGGAGCTGCAGTCAAACTTTAAGGGGTTTGATGACATCGAAAATACGAACATGTCTCCAAAAATTAAACTGAGAGTGGAGCCGGACGACGAGGGGAGCAACAAGAGCCCCATCAATAGGGCGGTGGAGGATGACGTCCAAAATAAGGAGGAGCAAATACAAGCCTGGCTGAAAAATAGTGTGGTACGTTCCCCAGAACCAGAAATAGAAGCTGAAGTCCCAAAACAAGAGGCTGCTATTGCCGAGTCGTCATCTTCGTCATCTTCTTCGAGTTCGAGCTCCAGTAGTTCCAGTTCGGACGATGACTCCAGCAGCTCGAGCAGCCAGGAAGATGAAGGCGTTTCGTCAAGTAGCAGCAGTTCCAGCAGCACCAGTTCCGTGGGTTCTACGGCTGGAGAAGAAAGCGACTTCAACGAGCTGGCCGCCCTCGAAAAAGAACTCTCCCAATCGCAAACAGAGGAACACATGGGGGAACTCCCTCCCCGGGAGATGATTGTCAAACAGCCGAGCCCTGAAGAGTTACTCCCAGAGGTGGAGGTCTCCAACCACGACATTGCCAAACTGAAGCAGATCCTGGAAAGCGATGGCGAAGCGAAGCCAAGTGACCTTAGTAAGATTGCCTTAAATAGTTCCTTAAAATCAAATGAGTTAGTCGTAAGAGAGGAAATGGAAACGTCTCTTTTGGAGGAATCCGAATCTTCGGATAAATGTGGCGCTGCTCCTACTCCCCGAGAACTAAGCGTCGAGGAGGCGCTGGCGGAAATGTATCAGCTTTCAGATCTCGAGGGCAAGGAGGACGACGAGGAGCCGAGCACCAACGGCCAAGATGTACTGCTAATCAATCTGGCCGAGATATTTGACTCTAGCAGTGATCTCTATGTGGTGCAGTGCGACATGAACGAGAACATCCTGGGCGTGGTGGCCAATGAGGATCAGGAGGCCGAGGACCAACCCCATCCAGCTACTCCTGGTCAGGTGAGTCCCGAGACGGAGGAGCAGGCCGACACTCTGCAGCTCATCCAGTTGTTGGCCGAACCCCAACCAGAATTTGATGCCACGCCACTAATACATCACGAGGAGATCATTCACGATGAGAAGCCCGATCCGCAAAAGGATCGGCGCAAGTTGCTCAAGTATCTGCATGGGAAGTATGTACAGAGTCGGATAAGTCGGTTCTACCACGCCCATCAAGTCCTGCGGAAGTACAAGCGCCAAAGAGCCGGAAAGAAGCGTCTCCGGAAAGTCAAATAGGATTCCAGCTTCTACCAAAGATATTTCTGGTCCCTGGACAGGATAAGATGTGTTCGGCTTGTCCAAACAGACGATCCAGATGGTTAATCGAAAGTAAATAAAAGATACACCACACGTACACGTTAGATACACCACAAAAAAGAAAACGAAAGATATGGATGCAAATGCAGCTACACTTTACAGAATCTCAAGACTTTTTTTAATATTTGGATTTATTTAAGGAAACGGAATGTAGCATAATGTCTATGTATAGTCCTTTTAGGAAAATCATAATTTTTAAACTTTTACGATACTTACTTTAGAGTACCATATATATTTTAGATATCTGTGCAATATTTACATGGAAATGTCGTGTTTATCTGGAATGCGCGAATTCGAATCTCGATGGGTTAAGCATGAGTAAGCAGCGTTAGACAAAGGGTTAACCGGGGGTCAGTCGGGGAGTTTTGGGGTTTCTGTCCGAGTCGCGTGCAATTAACCAGATACATACATACTTTATCGGCTAATGTATCAGCGTTTTACTCGCTCAGCGAGTCGGCCAATTTAAAATGCTTTTCGCCAAAGGTCAGCCCCAGATTGAGATACATTCGCAATACAACTTAACGTATACACATATATCGGGGGGAATATGCGATTCTAGTTGCGTGTTAGCCTTGGCGTAAGTTGGGGGACAAATAACCACGCCAACCCCTAGTAGCTTAAATTTTTGCCACCAAATGCAGCCTAGACCAAAAACTAAAAGAAAACCTAAATACACCTGTTGCAATTGTTTGATCTGTTAGTAGCCGAAGACTTTGTTTTGTTTTAGTGCAATTATTTGTTAGGTTCCTAGAGCAATTTGTTGTGTTTGTTTTAGGGTTACGGGAATTACCAAAACTGTTAAGCTTTGGCTTCGTACATTTAACAAACATAGAACCCAATTCCTATATCCTATATCCTTTATCGACAAGGAAATCGAGGGGGTTTCGTTTCATAACGCCCATCTCTAATTGATGCTTTGCTCATACGGCGACTTTGGGGCATAGCAAATCACAAATCCAGACCGGTTATCAAATTTGGTATGGGGCCTTAAAGAATTCTCAACGCCCGACCTATGTAAAATGCGGATGAGGAAATCAATATTCAAGGGCAATGCCAACTATGAAATAGACTTGGGTGCTGGTCTAGTCTTAGAACCCTAGCCCACAGCAACACTAAACTAATAACTAAACTAAAATGTTATCTTATTCTATAACCGAGACCACCTAAATGTCTTTTTTTCTCGTAACACATTCCAAAGGACCAAACACTTGAAACTAATAAATGTAAAATGTCTAGCTAAGCTTCTAAATGTACGTTCTTTCGTTTATAACTTTTACAACTAAGTAATACGCTTAATTTTAGTACAAACAAAATACAAAGTGCAAGAGCTAGCCCACTAAATGGAGTAAAAATGTTAGCAGTAACAATAATATTTATTGCGCAATATGTACATACATACCATCCTTTGCCACTCTACACATTCCACAACGGATATAACATACACGTATATGTCTGTAACTCTATACTTGTAAATCGGAAGGTTTTCACTGTACCTTAGCTTTAAGATTTGTGACTTTATCAATGTGACAATGTGAGTGTCTTTGAGCAAACCAACAAAGGAAATGATATACGAAATCCTAAAAAGAAAATAAATGTTTTATGTAAATGTTATTCGATGAGCCTTGGCTTTAATGCTTTTTATGGGAGTTTGGTTAAAGCGTTACCAAAAAGGTAAGGAATGGACTATCTCCTTCTTTTCTATTGTACAGAAATATTGCAATTTATTTTGTAGAATTAAAAAAGAATAGCACAGTTCACAAATCTAGAATTTGCAGGCTAAAAGTAAAAATCCAACTTTTGGGCTTATGTTGGCGACCAGTCCTCCTCTGTCATTCAACATCCTCATAATATGATCAACTGTGGTTGAACTCTGGCTTTGGTATCGTTTCCTGGACCTCCTTTTGAAGGCCCTTTGGTCTCTCCATCTGCCGGTCTGCCGACCTCCTCCGTCTCCGGTCATCATACGATCCTCAGTGCCCGCACCCAGCCCAGACCCAGATCATCACTCGAAGTAGCGCTTCTTGAGGTCCGGCGGATAGGTCACGTATATGTAGTGCTCGTTCTGACCCAGACCCGCCTCCTGCTGCACAATCTCGTGCGTGGAGGCGGAGGCACGAAGGGATTGCTGCGAGGAGCCCACATGGCGATGCCTCGTTTCCAGCGGCCGCGGATGCGTGTTGTAGTGGCGCTGTGTATCGCCAGGAGCTCCAGCGCCCTGTCCCGATCCTGATCCAGCCACTATATTGGTGGCAATCGGGCGAGAGGAGCTACTTGTATAGTCGCGTCGGTCTAAAATGTCCTGTGGGTAGGCCAGGCTCGTCGAGTGACGATGTTGCAGGTGGGGATGCTGTCCCGAATGCTGCACCCGATGGTGCAACGGCGTGTTGGCGTTGGAGGAGCTGCTGCGAACGGCCCCTTGGGTGGGTGTGCCCACTGTTGGCCCCACCGGACGCTGATCGGCGATGTAGTGCCGCGGACTGTGGCGATGATACTGCACCTGCTCCGGGTACAAATCCCGAACGGATGCCGCCTGGTGCTGCTGCTGCTGTTGCTGCTGCTGTTGGTAATAGTACTGCTGCTCCTGAAGCAGGTGCTGCTGTTGCTGCTGCTGACCAGCTATCCCGCCGGCGTCCAGGTCGAGGTCGTGCCGCGTGGCATAGTCCACATGGTAGTGATGACCCGCTGCTGCTCCTGGCATGTAGATGCTCCCGCCGGCGCCGATGGATCCCTGGCCGTAGTAGTGGTTCGCGTTGATTGTCGTTTCTTCGGAGCTGAAACAGGTGACTTGGGTTCGCTCAATCTCAATGGAAGAAACAGGTGGCCAGGACACACTTACTCGAACAGGATCCAGATAATGTAGTAGCAAAAACAGATCCCAGTGGATAGCACGAATATCAGAATCACGATTAGACCCCAGGGGAAGGCTCGGGGCTCCAAGGGTCCATCCTCCCAGTAACGATCACAAGTCAAGTACCAGCACACCGCCTTGTTCATTTCATCTGCGGGCATGAAGGGTTTTTAAGTGTTCAACTATAATTCGGATTAGCAAGAACATAAAGCGCACGAACCTTCCATCTCCTTGAAGGCCTGATCCGACATGGACAATAGCAGTCCTCCGATGCAGCTCCTTAGCAGCATCTCGCAGCGGTTCTTCAGCTTACTCAACTCCTCCGGCTTGCAATTGGCTCTGGCCTTGTTTCCGTTACCATTAACACCCGATCCCTCCTCCGTTTTGACCTCATCGGCGGACTGGCCACTGCCCTCGGGTTGTCCACTCCCCTGCTCGTCCTCCTCCTCGCCCGTCTCGTTCTGCCTGCTGGCCTCCGGATCCGCTGCCGGCTTTAGGTGCGCCTTCCCCAGCTCCTTGAGCTTGTTAAGCAGCTTCTCGCCCGCCGATCTCGGCCTAGCCGCCGACCCGTCCTCCGGCGATGGATCTAGGCGAAGGGGATTGGCTGTGGTGGATGCACGATCTCGGGGATGGTGGTGGGATTGGGGATGTGTTCGCTCACCTGCCGGTGACTGATTCTGCTTGCTGGCCTGGCTTGGCTTGTCTTGAAGTAATTGACGGTTTTGTACTTTGGCGGCACGCGAGGCACCCAATGTGGAAGTTCTGGAGAGGATTGAGGCATCACATAACTGAAGGCAAATACGAGAGCAACGAAGCAGAACTCACCTAGGTATTAAGCTCAAGTAGGCAGCATTCGCTTTGGCCAACGCGGAATTCTGACCCAGGGAGTCGCCCCAGACCTCGATGTCCGTGACAATGTGCTGGTCACCAAACTTCAGGCTGGACGCGTCCTCCGTTTCGAAGACCTCACACCGCATGATGTCGCAGAAGTCGGCCAGGCAAACGGCATCCTCCGCCTGGGAAATGCAAGTGGAAATGGAAATTTCAGTACTTTCGGTAATATAACTTATTAAGAATTATTAACTTATTAGAAGATGTTGCAACAAAATCATTGATCACCCACTGCTTAGCTCTTTCTGAAAATGTAGTTATTTTACCTGATTGATGATGCTCTTGTGGCGCGTGTCGAAATGTAAGTCCAGGTGCTTCTCCTGGTAGAAGCTCTTCCCACATTTCCTGCACGTCCACTGAGTAGGTCGATCCCTCTGCTTGGCATCCTGCCGGGGGGCAAAAACATCCCGGAACGGATGCAGCGGGCACTCCAGGGGCAGCTTCACCTTTTAGTTAATTTGCTTAGGTAAGGCAGGCTTATATAGAGGGAACTCCGATGTAGTGGCCTTACCTGATGCTTGTCCAGAATGGGAGTCCATTTGGAGCGCACTATTTTGCGCACCAGTCGGCTGTTATCTCGCGAGCAAAGGATTCTGATCACATTCGTGGGTGGCCATGGTATCAGCAGCAGAAAGTAGACCAGTGCAATCTGAAAGTGTTTCAATGGGGTCTCTAGATTTGGCATGAAACCAGAATATATGAAGTAGCCCAGCACGCAACTTTGCCGGCTGACCTAAAACCACCCTCCCTTTCCTTTTTAGGTCACTTAAAGTTGAAGGGAGAACCTCGCAGAAAATCGATAGCGAAAAAACTGAATGAAAGGGTGGGCAGTTGCGTCCTCGCGGAACACGAATTCCCTGGGAATGGGACCTAAAAAGATGGCACCTAAGAATTGCTCCCGACTCACCTCGAAATTATGATATTTAGGCGACATTCATACTATGTATTTATGGTCGCTTTGCTTTTGCTGTTGGTCTTGTTTTTCGGTCTAGAAATTCCTATTAGTAGTTCTTCTTTTCCAGCTCAAATTTACTTTCCGCAGTGAGGTATGAATTGTAAGGGTGGTAGCTAAAATATTCGTTAGTCTTGCCAATAACTGCCTTTTCAGTTGTGTTCAGCTATCTGGTAAAATAAATAAAAAAGCCTGATTGAGCTCGTCCTACGTCCGCACTGGTAAAAATTTCCTCGCTCTCTGAAAGTAAATTCGCCACTTCCTGTACCGCTCTCCCGATTTCCCGTTCTCTATTTCACTCCCGTTAGACCGTTGTCCTGCGCCAGTTATCGACAGCTGAGCCACGGTTGCAATGACGCAGCCTATCGATTGCCCTAATATATTTTTAAATTACAATATTTCTGAGCCATTCAATAAATGTAGAAGTTGTCTATAATTTAAATCCGCTTTATTTTGTGGGGGTTGGTTTTTTTTTGCAATTCCTTTTTGTCGGCAGGAACCGCCTTAGTAGTTCTGTTTTCTGCTCATTACATTTTTACTATTTTACAAAATTCTAAACTAAAATTAAATTGTTTTCCATCGCACAACTTTTTTGAACAAAGTCATCTCTTGAATTAGGGGCGTTCCCAGATCGAAGTCGCCCAGTTAGGCATTTAAAAACTAGAGTACAGCCGGCGAGCGCTTTTTTGGGAGTGAACCGTGGGGACTCACAGTCCATTGTAGATGCGATTGATGGAGGATTGGTCGAGTATTTTCTTGAGCGCTAGAATGGGAAAAAATTTATTAATGACACAATTAAATATGAAATATTTCTTAATACTCCTTGTAATAATGAATATACCAACCTTCCTTGTCCTCCTCCGTAAGATCCTTCTTGGGGAACTCCACATCGAAGGTGATGTACAGGTTGCCGGTGAGGTTGTTGTTCTCGAAGTTGGGCATGCCCTCGCCCTTCTTACGGATTCTGGCTCCGGGCCACGTGACCTTTTCCCTCGTGACGGGCACCAGGTGTCCATCAAGGTGCTTGATCTCCATGGAGAAGCCGACAAGGGCATCCTGCAGGCTGATGGTCACGTTCGTGTACAGATCATCGTTCTTGCGCAGGAATCGCGGATGCGGCATCTGTTGAACGCGCACAATGAGGTCGCCGGGCTCCCCATCGATATGTGGCTCTCCCTCGGCCACGAACCTCGTTTCCTGGCCATCGACCATGCCCTGCTCCACCTCGATCTCCAGCGTGCGCTCCTCGTTGACCAGCTTCACGTTGGGACACTCGTCGCACACCGTCTGTTGGATCATCTGAAAGCGACCGGGTCCGAGGTTCCGGGTGACCATCTCCTGGCGGCAGTTGCATTTCCTGGTGCCAGAGGCGGGCTTGGTTACGGGCTTGTTCCTCACGATCTCCACAAAGTTTCCGGAGTAGAGCTCCTCGAGGGAAACGTACAGATCCATGACGATATCGGCGCCTCGCGGAGCATCTTGCTGCTGGCCATCACCACCAAAGTGAAAACCGAAGTCCCCAAAGAAGCTGGAGAACGGATCTCCGCCGTGATCCATCATGCCCTCCTTCTTGAGGCAATCCTCGCCACAGCGGTCGTAGGTCTTCCGTTTGTCCGGATTGGAGAGCACTTCGTAGGCCGCTCCGAGGTCCTGGAACTTTGTGGACGCATCCGGGTCGTCCTTGTTCTTATCCGGATGCAGCTCCTTGGCCAAACGGCGATACGCCTTCTTCACCTCGTTCGTGTTGGCGCTTTTCTTGACGTTCAGTATCTTGTAGAAGTCCCGGCCGGCAAGAGACTCCTCCACCAGCAAGAGGGACAGCTGGATTATAACCAAGCACTTAATTAGCTGCATTTCGTGTGTGATCCTGTTTGATTCAGCAATTCATTCTTTTCAGCCAGCTAATGTGAAATTAGATTTTAAATGCTGCTGGCAAAAGTGTAAAAAAATTGTAGTTGTCGCCGCTGGCTGCTTTGTTTGTGTGTGTGAGTCGTGGGCTGCGCTGATTGGTTGGCACTGTCGTTAGGGTTGCCACCGCTCCTCTAACAGAGCAGCTGATTTGCATTACAGTCAATCCAAAACTCTGGCAACGATGCTTTGCTGTTATGCGCTGTTGTGCTGTTACAGCGCAGACAAACGCCTCTGGTCCCACTCGCTGGGCGAAGATAAATAAAGAAATAATTTGTTTAATCCAATTTAGCCTGACGAACTGCCTGGCAAGTTGACTGCTTATCGTTCTCCGCTCTGCCCCGTTCGCCTACGCGCAAGTGCCTTATTTTTAGTTAGATAGCGGTTTTCAGCTCAAATACCAAGGCGCCCCCACGCCTGAGTTCAGCTCTAAAAGTAATTGAAATGAAGTCCCTCAATTAAAACCCTTTCTTACGGTAATTTTGCGATTTCAGACACCCAAGGAAAAATAACTAACCGAGTATCATAACGGAAATTCCCAGAAGAGTAAGTTTACTCCGAACTATGGCATACTAAATGTCAAGGCCACAGCAAAACAATAACAACAGCATCTGAAGCCAAAACACAAACTGCAACTGTGTGCGAGATAAAAGGTGAGTAATTCATCACCTCAACTACACGGCCGATAATAGTGCAATAATACGTGAGTTTACTGTACGCCTAATTCGCAACTGGTGATGTCAACACATTAAACGCAAGTTGATCAAGGGATATGAATAATCAAAAAGCAAAGATTTCATGAGATGTAATTTATCGGCCTCAATGAGCAGTAAATCTTCCTAGGTAACGAAAGCACTACTCAAAAAAACATATAAACAATTCATTGGCTTGAAACCAACTATTAAGAGTAATATCAATATTAACACAATATTAGCTCCATCACTATCATTCTAAAAGTTAGAACAGTAAACTGAGTTCTCGAAAGTGGCACTCGTGCTTGCTCTAGAAGTTCCACTGTAGTTCCAAACCCCCTTTTTGCATGTTATCAGTCGTTGAACAAAGAAAAATTCATTGCAGTATAGAGCCCAATAATCCCACAAAAACAAGACTGAGTCAGTCGACTGGGGGAAACAAAGCAGGGAATCAAAGTTGCAATACGATACGCTATTTACGATAAAAAGAGACCCCGCTCCAATTGCATTAATGGAACTTTGGCTTACATGACGGATCAATGCTGATACGCTATTTAAAACAGATCTTGCCCAACACATGTCGACCGAATTATCAATATCTCCACTACGCTAATCTTATCAGTGCCATAAATAGGAACCCCTTGTGAGGGTTTGTATTATCCGAACATCTTGACCACGCACCGCACGCAAATACCCGAGAAATGCGGGTATTACCAAGATAACGATACGAAGCACTATCCTAGACTGTATTTAATTTAAGTTTACGCAAAACGAGGACATAAGTAACATCTAGGCATGAAATTACCAAATTTTTACTTTGAGTAAATTTGATAAATATAAACATAAAAAAGAATTTTTGATCTCTGGCACTATAAAAGTTAGAAAGTTAAGATTTCAATTTCTATCTTAAAGCATATAAGCTGTCCCGTTTACGTTCATACTTGTTAAATTCTATGGATATGCCGAAAGAATTTGGACCCCCACTATCTGACGGGTATTACGGGTGTCTGATAGCCGTGGAACTCGCCTATAGCGCTCTCTCTTGTTTTTCTCTAAACGCATCCAAGTTAATGCCAATCAAGCAAACATTCCCGATTAGCAAAATCCAGAGATTAGTAAATGAACCGAGTGGTAAGTGAACGCCAAGTGGATCCATTAAAAGACACAAAGTAGACCGCTGCCAAACAGTTTCGCCCTGCCAGGGGACGCGTGTGGTTGTGATAATTCCGGTTGTGCCAAGGCCTGAATATTTTCAATCCCCTTTAATTGAAAACTAGTAAGTTTAGGCAATCCAAACAGTGGCAAGTGCTAAACAACTGAGGAGATGAGATCTGCACTTGAAGTTGACTGAGCGGCTAAGTGGGCTGTCCCTCGTAATCTTCTCCAGCTGTCATGAGGACTGCAACGGACTTAGTCTCATTCAAAAATATACAGACCTAATCACCGATGCTTATCGAATACTTAAGCGGGGACCAGCCGTCGATAAGCCTTGGTCTTATTATTTTCAAAATTAACAACTCTGCAGGGTGCCAGGATGGGTGTATCGAGAAATAAACGAATAAAAATTCCGTGATTAGCCGCGATACGGTTTATGGACATTGATTATGCAAGCAAAAATAACCCATCGAACTATTCACCACTTTCAGATGCAACGAACTGCCTAGGGCTGGATTACTCCCACCTTGTCACTTCCTAAAGCCGTGAATCTTCCGAATCCCACGTATCCACCATGTGCTGCAGGTGCTGCGGGGAAACTCAACGCAAGGTCTGGGTCTTCGGCTTGGGATCACTCTTACTTGTGCTGGGAATACTCATCGTGGTCTTCTGGCCGGCTATTGCAGATAACCTTGTAGAGGATGTAAGTATATTTAGCTAGTAAACAAAATGTTAAGGAATTGCAAAACTTATTGAGGCAAATAATATAAAAATCGAAACTCTTATTTGCCATCCTAGATTATAGGATATTTGTTTATTGATGTCTTTTCTTTTACTATTAATGTAACTTTATTATTAAGAAACTGATTTTATTTCAACATATTACAATTAACTTAATATTTATTCAGGGCCTTACCCTCAAGCCTGGCACTGATGCCTATGACAGCTGGCTGGAGGCACCTATCCCAATTTACCTGAGCTTTTACATGTTCAATTGGACGAATCCCGAGGACATAAGGGACCCAAACATAAAACCAAACTTCGTGGAGATGGGTCCGTACACCTTCCTGGAGAAGCACAAGAAGGAGAACTACACGTTTTACGATAATGCGACGGTGGCATATTATGAGCGCCGCACATGGTTCTTCGATCCGGAGAAATCCAATGGTACACTGGACGACATGGTGACAGCTGCCCATGCCATCACCGCAACGGTGGCGGATGAGATGCGAAATCAGCGAAAGATCGTCAAGAAAATTATAAACTTTATGCTGAACTACGAAGGCGGAAAGTTGTTCGTAACCAAGCCGGTGGGCGAATGGATCTTCGACGGTTACCAGGATAACATTACCGATTTTCTAAACCTGTTCAACACCTCCATGATTGACATCCCCTACAAACGCTTCGGGTGGCTGGCGGACCGCAATGAGTCGCTGACTTACGATGGCTTGTTCACTATCCACACCGGCACTGACGATATATCTAATCTCGGAAGACTCACCCACTGGAATGGAAAGGCAGAAACTGGATTTTACAAGAAGCCTTGTGGCGTAGTTAATGGAACCACTGGCGACTTGTTCCCGCCGAAGATGAATGTACGCGATGAGATTACGATTTTTGCCACCGATGCTTGCCGATTTATGAACCTCCGGCCCCGGGGCACATACGAGAATCACGGCCTGACCGCCACTAAATGGGTAGGAACCGAGGAGACTCTTGACTCCGGAGAAAACTACCCAAACCAGAAGTGCTTTTGCGATTCGGAGCGTTTTGAAGAATGTCCCAAGACCGGCGTAGTAGAGTGCAAGGCGTGCCGAGACAAAGCACCCATTTACTCCTCCTTCCCTCACTTTTACCTAGCGGATCAGTCGTATGTTGATGCTGTCAGTGGAATGAAGCCGGAGAAGGAGAAGCACGAGTTCTTCCTAGCCGTGGAACCGACCACTGGAGTACCTGTCCAAGTGCATGGTCGCATCCAGATTAATATGATGATTGAGCCCGATGACGACTACGAGTAAGTAAAGAGTTCTTGGATAAAAACTACTCATACGATTCATACGCATTACGTACACAAAAAACACAACGGCTTCCACGGAAATGTTAATGATGAAAATGTTATTTGCAGCATATATCGTGGTGTGCAAAAGGTTTTAATGCCCATGTTCTGGTTCGATCAGTATGCAGAGCTCTCCTCCGAGTTGGCCTCGAAGGCCAAGGTGAGACCTAATCCATACTTGAAATGTCATTCACTTAAGCACCTTGCTTTTCCTTTCAGTTGGCCATTAATTTGTCCAGCTACGGAATCATATTCGGCTCTTGCCTGATAGCTGTTGCCAGTGTCTTCCTCATCACCGGCATCACGCTGACTGTGACGAAAAAGTGGGTGCGAGAGATTCCCGAAGATGAGGACATACTTACCAACTAAAACCAAATAGTTTTTAAGTGTTGCCAAAGTGCCAGGAATAGTTAACTCTCCTAGTTCATTTTGATAGTCGCCCTTCACATGCTGCTCTTGTCAGTTATGCGTTATGTAATATGTAAGTGATACGAACGACGTTCGTCTTACTTTTTGTGATAGCAATCCCTACTCTTAACTCTAACAAACTCTACTCTATTTGCAATATTACACGAATCATTCACAAGTCGAAACTTTCCGATTGAGATTTTACATATTATACTTGATAAACAAAACTTTATGAAACAAAAACACTCCGTGCATTTTAATTTAACGTTTTCATTTGAATTTTCGTTTATTTTGAAAGGATAATTTTTACAACTTCTGTATGCTTTTCTCAAGGACTTTTTACTTATCGTATACGATTGTTGGATGCTTTAACGATTTGCTTCATAAATGCATTATTTAAATGTTGTTTTGTAAATTAATAAATAAAATTAATTGTATACGTATATATATTTATTTATATATATATATATGTATGTATATTGGTGTATATGTAAGATATGGCAAAAATTTTACATTTTCTCAAAGATCACATTCCTCAATTTAGCCATAGACTTTTAGTCGAGAAAAATCTACGCAAATATTTGTGACATCCATCAAAAATTGAAATCCATTTTTGCACGCACACTCACACATCCAAAAAAAACATTGGGGAATTATTAACCGAACAAAAATAATAAACAAAGTGGATACAAGAAATAAATCATAATCATCTCTCGCTTATTACTACGGTGGGGATGGAGGGCAAGTCTAGGCACTCTTGAAATTCTTTAGTTCCCTTCGACCAGCAATCGAAGCAAGCGAACCCATTTCAAACCATTTCTTGGCCGATTTGAATGCTTTCTACTTGATTCTATCGCTGGCCCGATTCGTTGTGAGTATGTGTGTGTAGAAAGAGCGACATTGCTACGTACTAAAAATTTGCATAGTTATATAGTTATGTTGCGTTGTTCTTGCTTACTAAAATAGTTATAAATTTAGTATAAGTTTAAATAAAAATCAATCACAGTTGTTTGGGCGGAAGTAGTTAGTTTTAAGTATTCGCATTTCTGGCCTAACTAAGTATTTGCAGCTAAGACTAAAGATCTACGATGTAGTTCAGTTAATTAGGTAGTGGTCGTATTTTATACTTGAGTATTGTTGCTTCCCATTTTGATAAACTTCCTCTCTATTTCCGATGGTGTGTCATTGTGGTTTCTGTTGTGGTTACTTTACCAATTCCCTTAAGTGACTAGACTGGGTTCTGATTATTTGAATGCGTGTTTTGAGGTTAAGTTGCTCACGTCCTGTAGGCTTAAGTATTGACTCTGTATTATTCAGTTGTTTCAGTGGCTCGTGTTACTTTAGTTTTCTGTATTTACCATCTGAAGCTGTGGACCTGCTAGCGTGTGTTTTTCTATAGAACTGGCTTTGTTAGTTAAATGCATGTTAGTTCCTACTAAATAGCTACTCTTTCTGCTGTTCCGACAAATGGTTTCTTACGGTGGGTTTTCGTTTACATCAACCCTTTAGTGCCCGGCGAATCTGTACCCTTCGAAACACTGTGATCGAATTTATATAACGCTACACCACCCGAACTGATCTATGCAAATTTCCGAACGCAGAACTAGCTCTTCACCCGGGCACACTCATACGTCAGCACTTCGAACAGCAATCGAACTAGAGAGAAGAGTGTCGCTTTGGACCCATTGTCCACATCCGCTCCGGTTCCCAGATAGCTTGACGAGTCTAGCTGGTCTTGTTGTGCTGCTGCTGCTGTTGCTTCATCATGACGGCGGGATCGATCACGTAGTTGTTGGCCTCCGCCAATTGCTGGACAGGTAAAGGCGGTAGTTTGTCCTGCGGATGGCGGTGGCTGACGGTAGATCCTTTCCTGACCTTGCTTAGGGTTCCACCCCCTGCAGAGGAGTTGGAAACACCATTTGTGGTGGCTCCTGACGGCTGTGCACTGGACGTGGGCATTTCCTGGCCAGTCTTCGGATTTATAGCGACCTTAGTCTGTTTCAGCAAGGAACGATCGTTGCAGAGCGCCGAGATTAGTGGCAGATCTAGATGCTTGCTCTTCTCCCGAAGAAGGGCAATGTCCAGCGCTTGGGCCTGTGCCTGGGCATGAGACTGGGCTACCATTGAAGCCTGCAGCTGGGCCAAAATGCTGTTGTTTCCCCGGTTCAATCCCAAACCAAGACCCAAGTCAGGTCTCGGACGCTCGCCTGCCCACTGGGCGCCGCTGGAGGTCTTTGTCAGCGGTGAGTTCGCATGATGCGGATTCAGCGTGGGAGGTTTGCGCGGTGGAACCGGACTCATCCTGCTAGGAATGGGCTTAGACGGTACTGAAAAGCGGAAAGATTAATAAGATATCAAACTGCAACGGAGTATAAAGTAATTACTCACTTGGAGGTGGCTTTTCACTGGGCGCCGGCATGGGTGGTTTCTTTAGCCGTCTGTTTACATACGGTGGTGGGGGCGGCGGTGGCAGTCGCTTTCCCTTGGGCAGCAAATCTAGCGAGTTCAGAATATTGTCGTCTGATCGCGATCGCGCAAACATCGAGGAGGACGAGGAGCTAGCCCCCGCTGCAGCTGCTGCTGCCAAAGCAGCCGGGTGAAGGGGAGGCGGCGGTGGCGGCTCATACGAGGAGCATAGGCTGGCCATCGAAGGAGAGTACAGGGGTGAGTAACCGGGTCCTGGCAGCTGCACATATGTGTCCGATAGATTTTGGGTGGAGGCATATCGGGAGTGGGTCGACAAGGCCAGTGGTAGGTAGGGCGTGCTTCTGTAAATCGCCGGCGACACCTGCATGGCCAGATAAGGGTGGTGCGGTGGGGGCGGAGCTGCTTGGGCCATTGCCGCTAGTAGGGATCCCTGTTTGGCATCCAGATACTCCTGCTGGCTTACCGCTGGATCCTGGATGGGGTAAATTACGTAATCCACATCGCTGTAGAGCTGCTGCTGGTAGAGCTCCAATTGTTTTCTAGCCATTTCCCTCCCGTAAAGGTGACCCGCCAGATGGGGGTGATTCGGTGGGGGCGGTGGTGGCGGCTGCCGCGGCAAACTGGGCGGTGGTGGTGCCAGAAACTGCCGAGGTTTGATAACCGGTAGTAGCACACATGACTGCTGATGATGCAGTGAAGCCGTGCTCTTGTGCAGACCGTAAGGAACTATTGGTATCCCAATGGCTGCCGATCCAGAATGTCGGTGGTGAGCCGGCACGTGATGATGGTGCAGTGAAGCCTGTGATCCGCCTGCATAGTTGGAGTTATGCAACGACTGCTGGCTCAACTGATGGCTGCAAACCGATCCATTGGACGAGGCAACTGATGAACAATGGTGCGGTGCCGCGTAACTTGGCTTGGCCCCATCGGGAATCAGGCTGGTGTGGGCTTTCAGGATACTTATCTGTGGCCTGGTGGTGATAAATCGGGCTGTAACCTCCTCTGACTTTAAAGAACTCATCGAGCCGGCAGCACTGGGCGCCGGATTTGCCGACGAACTCACAGATATCAGGGATGTGGGTCTGGGCTTGCTAGAGATGGAATATGGCGGAGGATCTCTTCGTCGAATAGCCGGGGGTGGAGCTGGAATTGGTGCTGGAGGCACCGGTGGACTACATGGCGGTGAATCTGGTTTGGGAGCCACCACAGCTATAGGTTTAGGCAAAGGTTTATTTATGATCGGTGGGCCACATAGACCAGTTTTCTCATGCCTAGCACTGTAGGGGGGCGGTGGTGCTGGTGGCTGGTCCACCTCCTCTTCTCCTTGATTTCCTAGTGGTAAGGTCACGTAATCACAGTCCGAGTGAAGACTACTGGATACCGTTTTCCGGCTGGGGTAGGTCCCCCTGCCCACAATCAAATTGGTCAACTCTTCAGCGGAGAGCAAGGAATGTTTGTTGTCCGTTGGATCGCTCCCATCGCCTCTAAAGGAGCTCCCCGTGCTGACGTTAGAATCCGATCGCAGCCTGAAGTCTTCTTTCTTTTTGCCATCTACAGAATCAGGATGCGGCACGTGGGTTTCTTCCAGTTTCTGGGGCTGGAACATCCCGTAGTGCGAACTCTTTTCCGACTCGGCAATCTCCGATGATTGTCCAGTTAGCTCACTGCTGTGCATTGTGTAAACACCTGATGTTTCCGTGGGTGGAGCTCCGTGCGCCAATGTATAGACTCCAGATGCGCCCGATACACTCTCCGTTTCTTCTCTTGCCGATGTGGAGAGGAAATCGTCGGGATTCGTTTCGCTCAAGGCCGAGTTTTGAGCGGTGTGACTAAAGCCAAGTTCCAAACTGGACGATGTGGAGTGCACAGGAATGGGGGCACCTGACGAGGAAGCCCCTGCTCCATTGACAGGAGAAGTTACCACTACAGTGCTACAAGTGGAGGAACACTGAGAGCCGATGTTATGCTGCGAACTGGGGGAATCAGTGGCGGTAGAGGAATCATTGGCCGCTGTTCCCATGGAATTTCTCTGAACAGAGGAGTTCGTGATGGCCGTGGCCCCGTTAGAGCTCGCGTCTTGTGGCCTCACACTCAAGGCAGCTAGTTGTTCTTCCAAATCCTTCAGAGACATCTGGCCCACACTCGAAGTTTGCCTGCTCACACTGGGTCTGTCCAAGAGATGAGCCAGGGCCAAACTTTCCGTTGACGGAGCAGCTAAGGGTGCTGGTGGTGTATTGATCATGATCTCCAGCTCATCTTCGGAGTGCACCCGATCACTTACTATCCCAGAGGTTGTGTTGGAGCTGGTACTCGAGATAACCGATATTCGCTGCTCGTTTTTGCTTTTGTAGGGCAAGAGCAGACTTCTGGAGCAAGCGTAACTGGCATGTAGCCTTTGTGATTCGGCAGCCTCCTCCTCCTCCCGTTTGGACACCTCCTTTAGCCTGGCAGCTAGCTTCATGCTCCACTGATGTGTATCCTTGCAGAGGGTCAGTAGGAGTTTGTTTTTCTCATCGGATGCGGCGTACAGCGTGATTCGGCTCTCTCCAGATCGTATTTCAAACTTTTTTCGCTCGAAGGAGAGCTTCGTGATATTCGGCCACAGAAAGGTTGTGGTTTCGGGATTGGGTGAGCTGCTGGTGCACTCTCCTCCCAGGATCTTGATGCCCTTGGCATAGACCACAAACCAGGCACTACCACAGCCCTGCTCGCTTTTGGCCAATCGCATCCTGTACGTATGGGCATTGATGGTTTCATGGAGACTGCATGCCTGTTGGATATATAGCAGCTCCGCCTCCGACGTGGCCATTCCCAAATGCTCCCGGTGACAGGCTCTCATTGCACTTCTCGCCCAGGGAGTGTGCAGTCCACTGGGTAGGTAATCCTCGATCCGGTAGTAGTCGACTCCATTCGGTGGCAGGGTGGGCGGCAACGGTACTGATTCTCTCTTTGATGTGGACGCCACATATGTCGAGAGTCTTAGCATCCTCTCATTGGCACGTTTGCTGATCTTGGGTAAGGTAGTGGTAACACTCAGCCCTCTTCCTCCGCTAGAAGAAGATGCCAACGCCTCCTCCCCTGAATCATCCTTGGCATCCTTGGAAGCACTCGACCCCGGAGGAGCATCGCCCAGATCCGCCTGAAGAGCCAGTCCAGCAAGGAAGACCAGTGCCTGCTCCGCCTGTTCTCTCGGCAAATCGCGCTGCAAGATGTTGTGTCGCAGCTGCAGGTAGTAATTATGGCGGGACGTCTCATCTTTCAGCATGAACGGGCTCTCGATGTAGAACTGCACGCGAAAGTGTAGCTCCAGGAGCGGTCGTCCATTGGCATCCAGCCCCTTAAATAAAGACATGCCGCATTAGTTAGCTAATCACAATGATTAGTTTCTTCATAAATATTTACGTGGGTGTGCGATGATCGCCAGCTCTTTGGGCCGTATTTTGAGAGCTTGCTCTCGGGATCTGCGAACATGTACTCGCCATCTGCAACATACGAAACAAGAGATTGATTATGGAAAAATGTTTTATGAAATGGGGGTTTTGATCAGATTTTGACCTGTGCTTATATAATATAATAATGGCCTTTTTATTTATTTCCATATTTTTCCAGTTGAAGCAGACACTTCTTTAGATTTTTGGAATAACCAAACAGAGACTTACAACTTCATTCATTGAAATATCAAATTGCTTGTCAGTCGGATGCCATGTCTGTGCTGGGTTTCCGGTTGGACTAAGGAACTTTTTGGCGCGCAGCCGCCAAGGTCGCTAATCAAAATTTTAAATGAACTTTCGGCTATGCAAGGGGGACCTCCTTTTCCTTCCCAAATCGGGCTCAAATCGGATCGAGACCCCGACCAGACTTCTGTCAGTTTGTCAGGCAATAAACAAGCAACCCATTGACATCAACAAGAGTCAGAGACTCCAGCAGATGAAGACGATGATGATGACGACACGTCAGGTTGTCAGAGGCCCATTGCCTGATGCTCGAAGACGAGACCGGTACCGGACCGGGTTATATAGCTCCGACCCGAGCCCAGCAGAAGGGCCCAAGGGCATGTCGGCGGTGCTCGAGAAGGCAGAGAAAAAACAACAGCGAAATCAACACACACTTCATCGAACGAAAAATTGGAATTCCTGCATACAAAATGAAGAGCAGCAAGATGAAAAATAATAATTATGAAAAAAGCAGGCAGGCAGGTTGAAGGAGGCCATGGAATAGAGGCACCTCAGCATCGAATCCACAACACAGCAGCAGCAGCTACAATATCATAATAATCATCAGCGGCCGAATAAGTGCCTATCAATGACGACGTCGTGGACGCAAAGCTGGAATGGAAGTGGCAACAAGTGGATGGCCAGGGGAGTAGAGCTATTCGAGTTGGATCACTCAAAAAAAATATTGAAGAATGCCTGCAATATATATTGATACTACTAAAACTATTTATGATACTACTTCCCACTTCGTTTGTGTTGGGCAACTTCTTTCCTATCATAAAGGGATGTATATATTTTATAAAATTAGTATATTTCGATTTACGAGAATAGGCATTTGTTTCGCGCAGTGTAGAAACGGAGTCAAAGCGAGAGCGAGTGTTGCATACCAAGCCCAAAACGCAGCAACGAACAAAACCGGGAGAGAAAGAGGAAAAAACAGGTAGAAAGACAGGTAAGCGGTAAGCAGCGCTGGAAAAAGAGGCAGCTGAAACCCAAGTCGTTCGGTTTTTAGCCGCAGTTTTTAGACTCCAGCCTCGACTCCAAACTCAAAGCGATTTCTTTTCGCATTCAAATTTCACTCCACTCCAGAAGTTTTTGGCCAAGGCTCTTTAGGCAATGGAATTCGTTCTTGTACACGTATCGGAATCCTGGTATTCTACAAGCTGCGGGCAGGTGTTAAGGCTAAAACAGTCGGATCTCGGGAAGCCACTCGTCTACGGCGGCCTGATGGATCCTCACGCAATCCCAGCGTTCCATTCTACCTTGCCCGCTCCCAACGGCAAAAACCTAATAATTAACATATTTTCCATCGCATTCCTCAACGCTCACAATTAACACGCACGCACTCGCTTTTTGGAGGAGGGTTTGGAGGGGCAGCGAAATAAATCTTCAATTTGAAACACATGCAACACAAATTACAGCCTCAAAAGCAGAGGCAGCTGGCAAGGCAGAGTCGAGGCAGAGGCAAGGCTCATCAAGCAGAGGAATTCCTGAGGTAATAGCAGGAGGAGGAGGCGGAGGGCAGGAGATGGAGTCTTAAGTTGAGGATGGAGATGGAGATGGAGAAGGAGAATGAGACGCAGTCAGGGACAGCTGCGCCCAATGCCATGGCTTGGCATTCTTTAGATTCAGATTTATTTTCAAGAAGGTTGCAGTCCGAGTTGGAGTGGCCATAATAACCGAAAAAAAAATCAAAAAATCCGCAGGAGAAACTAAACGAAAAAATACTCTCGGCTTTAATCCAAGATTAAAACTTGTGGAATATTGAAATATTCATTTAAAACGATAGAATCTATCTATGGACATTTTTAAAGAAGTCAAAAAGTTGTATATATTAAATGCTAAATTTAAATACGTGCCCAGGAAATGAAATACATTTTAAGTGGGAACATATTTTTAAATTCCCAACTTCGGATATACCCGGGAGTGTAGAAGTGGAGTTTACAGGGTATCCTAAGAATGGGCAGCAACATAAATTTATGTGTGTGTCTGTGCATCGAAACTGGCTAAGGAAAAGAAGAACGAAAGACGAAAAACGAAAAAAAAACGTAAAACCAAAAGAATTTTAATTTCCGATGTTATCAGATGCACGCAGCCTAAAGAGGAGAGGCGGCAGCTCGAGGGGATCAGGGGATGGACAGCCGATGCAAGGCCGAGTGTTCACGTCCAAAGATTGAAGGCAAAGACGAAGACGAAACAGCCAACGCCGTATAATAATGATTATGAGCCATTAACATTAAATGGAAAAGAAAATGCTGGTCTACAGATTTCAGCTACAAAGGGGGTGGGGCTCCTCAAAAAAGGGTGGGGAAAATCATGAGCCCGGAGCCAAGAGGAACGAAAAAGGTGCTTTTCTGGCCCGGAATGCGGCTGAGGAGTGGAATTCAAGCAATGCCACAGCCTAAAAATAACACCAAAAGGGGAGAATGTCGCTTGGCAGATGACCACTGGATGACAATGTTGCCAAATGGCCATCGGCCCAGTGCCACTTAAAATGCTGCGATTCGTGGCTGCGATTCCAAGGAGCAGCTCAAATTTGCATGAAGATGCAATTTATTGACACTGTCCGGCCATAAAATGTAAATTCACTTCCATCACCGTTAAAAGCTTCAGAAGACGAAACTTAATTGTGACCTCTTTCGATTCTTTGTGAGGAAAATATCGAAATCGAAAGACCAAAGCAACGAACTCGGAAGCATGGCAGGACCAAGAGTTCCAGACTAGCTATTCGAAGTATTCCAAAGTAAGCCAGCAAACATTCAACGTGTTGCCAACAAATGTCTTCCTGTAGTTTGAATATCAGTTTTTCGGGACTAGCACTACGTAACTATATAATATTTTGGGAAACTATCTTTTACGTTTGGTGATCGATTGCGGCGCGATACTCTGGGTGAGGGATTGGGGGCTCGGACAGTCCCAAGTCCAGGCCAGCAGAGCAACAACAATATAACCGCATACCAATCACAGATACACCGTCCACTGACATTGGCAGGAATCCTTGGCCAGAAACCCACAGCACCCAAGCACCAGCGCACACACGAAAGCAGAATGCAAACTGCCAATTTCATAGTTGCGCCTGAGGAATCCTCCGCGAGGCGAGGACGTTGGCATGCCCAGCCCGATCCTCATATTCAGTTAAAGCTGCATCTACAGCTTCAGCAGCGACTCCGGCTTCAAGCTGCATACCAAATTCTTAGCTGAAGATGTTGTGGCAACTTCAACGCTCCCCTGCCTCCTGCCTCCTGCCGAGAAATTGATGCCAACCAGCTTCGAAAATTTACGTGTTGTGTTCTTGGGCTCTTGCTCTAACATCGTATCGGAAAATAGGGGTATACAGGAATAGTCATTGCGTTGAATAACAAAAACTTCCTAAGCAGTTTGATGTTTATACATTATTTGGGCCAGGCGACATTTTGTGTGGCGTTCGGAATAACCGATTTAAATCTTTCCCTAAATGTTATTTTCTTCAATAATAAATATTCTTTTCCCTATAAGAGTAAGAGATGTTCGATTACCAGAAAATCAAATTCCTCTCTCCTTTCTTGTTTGCTCTGCCCGGACCCCCCGTTTCCCCATTTTCGGTTGCTTGTGGGTCTTTGGAGAACACATATATCTGTGGCCAATGCCAAAGACGTTGTCTGCTTGTTCTCCAGGTTTCAGCTCAGACTCCGGAGCTCTGGGCTCCACCATACGCCATACGCCATCCGCCATCCTCCGTCCTCCATCCTCCATCTTCCATCCTCGAAACTCCATCCTCCTTGGCTGTCGTTCGATTCGTTTGTGTTAATGCAACGCGCGACGGCTACCTGAATTACTGAACACGCGTCTTGTGTCTGTTCCCCTGCATCTGCAGCTCAACGGCTGCTCCTTTGCTGAGCCCCTCTTCTGTATTCCTGAAATTGTTTGTTCGCCATGAAGGCGACGCGTTCCTGCCTTTTTGTTCGTTTTGTGTGCCATTTTTTGTGTTGCTCCGCTGTGTTGGTATTTTTATGTGTTTTGGCAGATCGCTTTGGCCAGAATGGAGGATGGAGGCTGAATCTTCTGCTGCTGATGATGCTGCTGCTGATGATGATGAGCAGCTTTTAGAGCGGACTGGTTTATGTTTATTAGTTGTATTTTTCATGCCTTATCGGTGGCATTTGGCTACTCCACAACTCGGAAACAAACTGGACGCAACTGTCTTGGAACCCCAAAACCGCCATGGACTCACCTATGAGCACAGCCAGACCAAATAGTTCGGTGTCCAGCATCCCTTGCGTGGCAAAGTGCAGACATGTCTGCGTGTAGACCTCGCGAACTCGACTCTTGGCATCGACTAGGAAGTACAAGGTTTTCGGCTGCTGCTGCCCCAGAAGCCTGCAAATTCCACACAAAATTAAGCAACACCATTTTTGGGCAGCCTTATCCGCATTAAACACTCACCTCAGGGCCAGGAATCGCGAGCCTGGTGATAGTTGCTCTGCTGAGGACGCGCATACTTCCAAAGGCGCGCTGACGGTGCAAAATGCTCGCATGCTGCATCATTTTCCGTATACAGCGCGCGCGTTCGAAATAGGTTGCTGTTTAAAGTAAAGGATAACAAGGATTAATATCTGCATTGATTAGTAAAGATTAGTTTGATTCGATTTTGTAAACCTGCCACGTTAGTGGCACAACAATATACTAATTGAAACGCATTCAATTGCTTACTATTATAAATCTGAAAGATAAAGCATTTTAGAATTCCAAAGAGAAATTGTCGCATCCATCGCGTCATTTCTAACCGCATTTTTGGCTCATCAGATGCGATAAAGCTGCCGCTCGATCGGCTCGGTTAGGCACCATTCTTTCAGGCAAATTGATGCCGCTGGAGCCGCCCCAGACGAAGTTGGAGACGAAAGGCGGAAGATGGCAATGGCAATGGCGATGGCGATGGCGCCCGCCTCTTTTGGGCTCACCGACTGCCGAACAATTTCACCAATCAATAACGAAAGACTCAGGCGACAAACTTGATTAGCGGGCAGGGGACTTGGACTTGGACAGAAAACTGAATAGTGAATAGTGAATACTTGGGGACTCTGGCGGTGCGTGCGTGGCAGCCAAGCTCCCTCCCCCTCTTGATGCGTTGCGCATAAAATTATTAAAATTCAGTTAAAGAAAGTTCCAAAAGCCCGAGCTAAGAGGGAGACAGACACCGAAACTGGACTCGTGATGAAAGAAAAGTATTTTGTGCATAAATTAAAATCAAATGGAATCAAATCAACTTTTTTGAATAGAGCGCCGGCAGCGGCGACAACAGTTTCTACCAGCCCGGCGGAGACGCATAAATTTCAATATTGGCGCATTTTCTGTGTCTAATAAATTTCAACGTTTAATAAATTTATTCAGAGTCAAATCGAGAGTCCGAGCCGAACTCAAGAGCCGATGGAGAGGGTTAGTGCCACATGCATGCCACACCAAAGATAGACCGAGAGACAGATGCTGGCAGAACCGCCCTGACTTATAAATATACGATCGGTCCGAGCGGAGGTATGCCTCCGCCACCACCGCCTCCCCACCGAAAAGCGATCATCAATCAAAAAGCACATTTGACATAAATTAGAAACCAAAGAATATCTGGGAACACCATAAGCAAAGCTTCCTCCCCTCCAAAAGACCTCTCCAAAAAAGCTTTTGAAAAGCAATTATATTTAAGCCGATTTCCATGCGCACCTTGGACCCGGCTAAGGTGATCTGGAGAACAGGCTCAGACACACACTTTATGCCCGATCACAGACGATTACGAAACGAGAATTGAAATTCCAGGTCTCTGTCTCTAATGTGCTGCGATTGACTTATTACCGAGGAATTTATACGGATAAACATAAAAACTACATTGTTGAGCTCTCAAGAGGAACTGGATTAAGCGATCACTCAGTCTCAGATATTGAGTGACTGGTCAAGAAATACGGTTTCGAAAAAAATAACATATTTCAGGGGAATAACTTTTAACTATGTTTTGAAATGTTTGGGGGGGTTGTGACATTTATAGCACAACATTGTTAAGTGCTTAAGTATAATATAACGACACCAATGATTTTTACGATTCGCAAGGAAATTATCCTTGTCAATTAGGTATAATGATATGTATTTAAGAGCGACAATAAGAGGAGACAGTAAATTGTCGTTAAAGAAGACCTCCTATAATTTCCGATAACAATAGGGGAAGCTACTCAGCAGATGGCATGAAATGAATAGGAGTTCTGGAGGAAACGATCGTGACTGTAATGCAAAATGATTTACCATTAATCGGAACAAGCTTTCTCGTACAACAAACAGAACGCTTTTTGATTGGCGAGATTTCTGCGGAAGTAGCATCTCGGTCATGAAGTTGTTAAGACGATACAACTCCATTGTAGTCTAATTTGCAGAAACTTCCTTGCAATCATTTCTCTTGGATTCCAAGCTGTCACAATGCCGGTCATTATGTAATTGTCAAAGCCACTATCCCGATTTCCTAGAGGATGAGTCAACTAAAGGGGAGTGAGCACAAAGAGCGCTTTAATTAAAAATTCGAACTAATTAATGGTGTTTAACAATTTCAATCATTGAAAATTATCGCATTCCGCTGGCTAATATGAGCGGGAAGCAAAGAAAGCCGCGTCGAAGCTAATTATTGAAGTCAACCTACGAGTTGGGGCTATAAACAGAGAGAAATATTGTCTATTCCAAAAAAAGGAGTGTACGATTTATAACATTTTGGTATGAAATGAGTATCGAGCTCTTCACCGTGCACTGCTGCCAATTGAAAACGCGGCAAAGAAGCGAGCCAAGTGGAGCTGAGCGACCGCAAGAGACACGCTAATCACCAATTAGCAAATGGCAATAAATATTTTTGTTATGATTTGTTATGAACATGTCCAGGGGTGGTGATTGGAGTTCCGCGAGGGGGTCGGCTTTCCGAGAGAGCTTGGAATGCAGGCACTCATGGAGCAGTGAAGGCTGAGGGGGCAAGGGGGCAAGTGGCAGAGGGGGCTGATGGGGCCTGGAGCAATAAAATCTCACGGGCTCTGCCGCGATCAAAGTCAATTAAATGGCGCAAGCGCCAGCAGCGAATGCTTTTCTGCTGGCTAAGCGAATGCCAAAGGGGTAAAGAGAGCAAAAACCAGAGAATTAAGTCGGCGACTGAGCAACAGAGACGTTCCGCATACGCCACGTTGTGCTGCGACAGCAACTAAACAACACAGACAGCACTGTAAAAAGTCTAGCATTAAATATACGAGCCAGCAATTCCAACCGTATTAGGCGTCTAGAAAAACGAAGGCAATCTTTGAATTTTATTTCATTTGAAAGTTGCAAAAAAATATGAAATCTCTGGTTCGTTCCCAAATAAAAAGTGATTTAACTCTCAGTTTTTCATAAGTTATATTATATAATAAAGAACGTTGAAATTATTTCGGTTTTTTTTCTCCCTGTGAGCGACCGACTACTATGTCAACTGCACATGCCAATGCACTGAGCTCATTCGGGGCGTGTGTTTGTCAACCGCGTTCCAACAATCGCCAAAGTCGAACGATCGCTTCGATCGATCAGACCCCAGACCCCAGACCCCAGACCCCAGAACCCAGACCCCAGCGAGGTCCAAAGAACTACGATCGCGGGGCAAGCGGAGGTGCCGGAACCAAGACCTATAGAGCCGAGACTACGATAAACGTTCCAGCCACATGTGCAGGCCCATTGAAATGCTGAACGAATCAGAAATTGAAAATATCCATATGGATTTCAGCGCGGAATGCGAGTGCGCATTGAGCAGATCAATAAACATGGCAGCGTAAACGCTCGTAAGATCGAGCAGCGAGGAATGCGAATCCAATTGGCTGTAGAGAGGTCTCAGAGATCGGATAATAGATCACATGGATCAGAGATAGATATATACATTCAAAAATCTGATGGCAACCAACCAATATGTTTGAAGAGGTCTAATTCGAGACCTCATCATATCATGCACACAGTTCTAAACTTGAAACTAGATTAGCATGCAGCCCTGACTATCTTTCCCCAGCGAAAGCGCTTGAGAAGCCCGTTTCAGCCCACACATTCCACCGAAAGATTCCTCACCAGTCCTCACAATCTTGACTTCTTTGAGAAGATGGCGAGGCGATCTTTGGAGTCTGTAAAGTCGAGGTAAGTGCTCGAGTACCGCGCGGCTCTCAAACTCGATTCGCATTTTATTGAAAGTGTTTCGAGCGCTCTCGGCTCGCCAACTAATGAATGACGATCGGATCGGCGAGCGGTAACTTTTGACGTGGAATATTTTGCTCATGAGCTGGCCTGCCGAGACCGGAATGGACTTAAAGCCGGAGCGAGTTCTACGTGAGTCTGGGCCTTTTAATTACCGATAGAACGGCAACTGGCGTCAATGGGACGGCCAGAAATAGTTTAGTTCGAATCTGTTTGGTGGCATTTTCACACGCTGGCCAACGCGGCGGATGCGCGTCATTCAAAACGGGCCCACAAGTGTTATTCCAAAAGGGGTGTGGCACCCGGGCGTTGTCACGCAAATGGGTTTAGCCTCAGCCTCAGCTTCAACCTCAACCGATTTCTGGCTGATCAGGGATAAATAGAGTCCGAAGTGCCCATTTTCGGAACGGTTGCTCAAATTGCCCAATGACGCAAATTATGTAAAGAGTCGTCAATTTGCAAACTCCAGACACCTTTTAATCATTATTTAGCTATTATATATTGCTTTGATTTGAATTCATCGCTAGCAATTACGAAACTTGGAAACGTGGAACTAATACCACTATGTTTTCTGTGTGCCGGGTTTAGTGTGCCATCAAATGGGCAAATAACTCGTCGTCTCTTTGCCAAACGGCGAATATCGAGTAGGAGAAAACAGAAATCAGGGAACAAGCGACTGAGAAACAAAACAGCACAGCGGCAAATGCCGAATTCCGAGCTGCGGAATTCCACTTGCTGTGCCAGTTATGGCCAAACAATTTGATGTCTTTGAAATGCGTGAAATGTCCCCGCCGATGATAATAATGAAAATGGTCGCTTGCTCGCTTGGCTGGATGGTTGTGAGGAGCAGCCAGGGCGGTGTGGGCCAAAAGAAAGCAGCCCACACGTCGTCGCTCGGCTTCAGTTGGCTTGCCACTACCACATCGCACCACTCCACACCGCTCCACACCACTCTGCACCACTCTGCACCACTGCGCACCACACCCCGCAGACGCGAAATGCCCAACTGGGCGAAGGTGGTAACGGTGGTGGAGGCGATGGCCTCCGCAATGAGAGCAGCAAACAGCAGATACAAAAACAAAAAAGAAGCCGCAACGTGTGCCGCATGCCAAATCGAAGGCGTGCGAAACTATGCTGCCGTAATACCCTAGAAAAATTAGCAGCGCATAAGGGGTATCTTGGATTAAATGAAGGCGCTACAATACGACAATTTGGAAGTTTAGGGGTAAGGATGTAAGACAAATTCTATGTAAATTTTCTACGGACACAAAATAGATTTTAATGCAAAGGGAAAGTTTGCTTTAGCTCAATTCCTCTAAACTCCATTTGAGTAATTTTACTGCCGTAAATGTGGCGTTTTTAAATATTCTAATTTTGATTTGGCGTATCATCCAAAAGATCAGCATTAACAAACAGTTTCCTAAAGTTTATGGCTGGTAATAAGGCTTTCAAGTTTTCGCCTTTGCTGACATGTTGAAGCAAAATTTCTGTACAAGCATAGATATAAGTTAATTTTATAATTCCCCGAAGGTCGTTCATTAGTGTATCCTATATCTCTGAGCCAGCCTCGACTCCGATTGTCATTCAAAATTTGTTTAATTTGTTGTACATTTTAATTGCCTGAATTGTTGGAATGGGCAACCACACTTGTGAATGATCACACACGCATATCAACTGCGTGCAGGAATTTCGGTTTACGAAATTATTATTTTGAGTTTGTACATACATACATATAATCATTGCTGTTGCTGTTGTCAGCTTCAATGCAAAAGCCCATTGCCTGAGGTCAAGTGTGATGTGGATGGGGAGATACGCATGGAGACGGAGATGTAGATGTCAGTGCTCAATCGAAAAAACCACAAGCCAAGTACAACTACGATCCGGGAATACATGTGTACTTGGCGAGATACAGATACGTCTGCCGCAGATACAGTTACCCATATGTATGATTGCCTGGTGGCAAAATCGTTTAACGATTAGCGTTTAACCGCTTAGAGCTCATCGACTGATACCCAAAGCGTGTGTTTTCACCCATTTGTTTATCTTTCGCTAATTTACATTCAAGATGTCTGATTGCCAGGCGGTTTCTGATTGCAGCAATTGTTCCCGGGATCTGGACGGCTGAAATTCCAAACCCGGGGAAAACAATAGAACTCCATCGGCGGAGCTTCGATTTTCACTTAATTGTTTCGCCATCGATCGTTCTAAAAACCGTTTAGATAGCCTGTTAATTGGAGCCATTGGTTCTAACCAATGATACCGACTAGCCAACATGGAAATGGGATACCAGGCCAAATGAAACCCTCTGCAAAGGTACGTTAATGTCAAAAATAACTAATTAAATATGACCGGTATTTTTAAAAACTACGACAGGTCTACTTTATACCTAGGTATATATGTATATAAATGACAAAATATTCCCAAAACAGCTTCCCTATTTCAATATACCCTCCGAAGAGTGTCAAATTTGACTGACATTTGATATTCCATGGCCAGAAATGGGTTAATTGCACAATTCGCTGGATTTGCGACTGTTAGCGGGGCGCAAAAAAGGAATGAAAAAAACCTGGCGACAACAACGAAATGTTAAACAATCGTCGGACGTTGGCGATTTTATGGTTGGCAGATAAGAAATTTGCTGGCATTTGTTTTGTTTGCCGTTTTCAGGGAGTCATTAAAATTCCGGGGAAATGGCCCCATATGGGTACACTACTCCATATCTACACGTGTATCTGTCCTTTTCTTACCTCAAGCCGCCGCAGATGTCGGCATTGTTAGTGCTGTATCTGCTTCTGTTTCGCGTAATCCACAATAACTGGCTTTTCAATTTGTAGTTTTGTTTAACTTTTGCTCACTCTTCGTGCACTCTTGAACCGATCTATCGATTTGGCTATCGATAAGTGCCTAACAGTAAAATTTCGTTTCGTTGTTGTTACTTTCTGACCTCTTCCACTTCCACGACGCGCGCTGCGACTGCGCAGTCAACAGCGATCGGGCCGCATTCCAGCGTCGCACATACTTTAATCAAAACTCACTACCACCAGCACACTTGCACACGCGGGCGAGCGCAACTGCGAGTATCTGTGTGCGTGGAGTCGTTGTTGTTGCGCGAAAGAATGCCGTTTGCTGGGTTGTTGTTTTTGCTGTTGCTGACTGCTTTATTTGTTGTAGCTGTAGTTTCCAGTGGCCAGTTGTTGTTGTAGCTGAATTTTTTCTTTTGACCAGCGCCAACTTTTCGGAGTTGACTTCAGCTTCAGCTTTTTCACACTGCTAGTCGCAGATATTTTCGTGGTTTTAAGGCGCGTTTTTCCCAAAATCAGAACCAACTAGTTGCACCAACACCAACAAAAATCACTTTTGTAATTTAAGCGAGTGCGAAAACGAAGCGCGCTGTTTTTGTTTCAGTGAAAACCGAACTTCACTTTAAGCAACTGAATCTGTGTAGCTCTGGGTGTGTGTGTGTGTGTATGTGTCTGGGCGAGCTGGTGTGCGTGCGGTGTGCATTTAAGATCTGCAGAACAACTTTTCCGAATGTTAGGTTTCGAGTAAATTCATTAAACCGAATTCATATTTCCCAGTGAAAACCACATGCTTTTCTGTCCCGGACGATCTGTTCGGTTACCGTTGACGTTTAGCGATATACTGATTTTGCCCCTGCGTAGCGAAACCGAACACAACGAAGATCGAGTCGAGATTTCGTTAAAACTCAACGAAGCCGCGTTTAACGAACAGAGAGCCGAAGAGAGAATTCGAATTCGAAAGAAGCGCACACAGTGATAGTCGCATACACAAACCCGATGGCAACAACACAGCTACGAAAAATGTAAATAGCAATAAGCAATAAAAGAAAAACAAACTTCAAAGGAGAATCCCAGTAGCCAACTATGTGTGTGTGCGTCCGTGTGAGTAGTGGAATTCCAATGGTTTATCTCGCGAGAAGCCGATTCCGATTCTCAAGGGCTTAAAGGATACCCTGTTAGGATAGCAGATTTGGGTAAAATACAGCTCAGAGCAATCTGAATGCATTTGAAGAAACTAGTAAACAATTTAAGAAACTTATTTTTGAGTACCCAACGACCACCTTTAATATTTTAAGACTCCTACAAAACGTACCCTATTTTCTAATTCTATTTTGTATCACTCGCTATCTTGCAGTTTATTTACTATCTTATTCTAACATTATTATTAGTTTTATCTTTCGGCATTCACTTTTTGCGAAATTGTGGCGGTAGCCTGTTAGATTCAAATCTAGCTTTCAGTATCCCTGCAATCGCAATCGATGCGACTATCTTATAAATAAACTCCTCGGACAGAACCCCAGATACAGATAGACTGGATGAGGGAGAATCGGAACTTGAGGGTCTGAAGACTCTGCCTCTATCGGCGTCCTCTGCTGCTACGATATCGTCACTTGGGCGCATTCCTCAGCATAATGTGAGCTTGATTTGCTGGATTCTTTTTGCTCCCCCTTCCCTCTTCTTCTCTTCTCTTCTTTAGCTTTTCTCCTTTTCGTTTCTCCGCCTCTTCGTCCATCATTTGCTTCAAATATGCGGCATACACACGCCCCACGAAAGGGCGCGGAACAGGGTAAGCATGAAGGTTTCAACCAGTTCGTCCAGGAGGGCTGCTAAGAAAAAATCCACAAAAAAGTACAAATTATCATTCTCTTTGTAAATGTGCCTTGTGATTTTATAGAGAAAAAACCTTACTAAAAATGATCATCCAATTTGGGCCCCCGTGCCAAATCCTCGCTACGCCCCTGAAGTCTCGGCCAAAAGTCGAAGACTCAGAATTGGAGAGTCAAGGGGTTGGGGTCGGGGTCGGGGTCGGGTCGTCTTGCCATGGACATAACTTGTTGACTGAAGTCAGGGAAGTGGAGGGGAAGGGGTCAAAATTGGGCGAGACATTCCGGGGAGGCGGGGTTTCGATGGGAACAGCCCGCGCAGCCTTTGATTTCTTTTAGTGTACTGTTTGGGATACAACGTGTAGAATTAAACAAAGTTCTAGGCTCAATCTATCGTTGTTCTACTAAAATACATACTTACCATTCCTGCCACAAATTCATTCTTTTAATTTGTTTATTGAGGTACTGTGGTGCAAGGAATCTGAGGAGAAAGGCTGTTATGCTGAACCCTTGCCGGATCTGCCTGATCAGCCTGACTACAAAAGATTTAGAGTACTTCCATCTTCGACTTGAAGCCCGAGCTTTTCATTCTTGTTTTTATTTCTTTGTTTTGTGGCCGTTCGTTATTCTTTCGTCTTTCGTCTTTGGTCGGTCGCTTGGTCGCTTGGTCGCTGGTTCTCTAAGACCGGTTGTTGTTGTTGCTGTAAGCTGCCTTTTGGGAACTACGTTCTTGGTCAACATCGTGTAGATATACGTTCTAGATGTGTGCCAGTGTGTGTGCGCGGCTTGGAGCCTGGTCGAGGCCGAAGTTTCGACCGAGGAGAGTGAAAAAATAAAAAATAAAAAAGAACGACCAAAAATGTTTTATGCAATTCCTTGAAGTCGATTTCAGTCTCCAGTCTCCCGGTCCAGAGAATCGCTTTTGCGGAATTGGCGCGCATTCTGGCCTTTTTTTGGCAAAGTGATCTTTCAGCCAAGAGCAGCTGCCATTGATCCTCTTTCTATTCAAAATTCCTCGGGCTCTTTGCGGTCTTGTGCGGAGCCAGAGTCGCTGGCGATGATGATATGGCGAGAGGCCAGGAATTTATTGAATAAGTTGGCATATGACGCGGGTACCAGCCCACTGATGTGTTGTGTGTTGCTGTTTCTGGCGTGTTTTCGCTACGCTTCATTGCCAGTCGTCAGTCAGTCGATGGTTCGTCGATATCGCCGATTGTCGCATACCTCCTACCCTTTCTGTTCAAACCCTACCATACCCTGTCCCTGACATAGTCTGGATCAGTGGAACGTACTGGGATAGCCATGGACCAGGCTTATTTGTTGGCGTACAAATTTAAAAATTACTGAGCAATCTTAACAATGTTCCGCCCTTTTCAGCCACTCCAGACTCCATAAGTGAATGCAAGCCCCACTCTACACTCAACACCTTATCACTCCCGATCGAGAGTATCGTAAGCTCCGATGAGTTGACGATTAGGTTTCCGCTTCGATTCGCTGTTCGGTTCGATTGGATTCGATTCGATTCGATTCGATTGGCTTTGTTTTGTATTCTTTTTATTATGGCCAAATATTTCTGCTGGCCACGATAATGCTAATGGGCCGCCCCTCCTTCCCCACGTCGTGCTCAGCCCCTGGTCGAAAAATGTATCCCAGGTATTTTTATTACATTTGTTACACTAGCTCACTTCCTATTCGGATCGCTGGAATTTCGCCGTAGCTCTCTTCTTTTGTCTAGGAATTTAAATACGTTTTGGGGATGTGCAGTCGGAAAAGGGGCAGGGTCACCTGAATGGAAGAGCGGGTGCTTCAACTCCGACCTTTGGCTGGCCGATAGAGGACTGCTGTGGATTGGAGAAATACTTGTAGAAAAACTTTTACAAATCTTTCAATCTTATCTGGTTGTGCCCATATAAAGAAGTGGCATTTGTCTTAAGTGTTTAAAGTTTTATGCAGAACCATGCCTTTATGTTGGCCAAGTGTACATGCTCGGCAAGTTGGAGTCAGATCCAATCCAAAGAGTCTAATCTGCCTACCCTACTTTCACTCCATTTCCAGTCGGCATCGCAACGCGGCTCTTTGGCATCTCATTCGGTTCGATTCGATTCGATTCAATTTATTCGAACCGAACTTTTCTCTCTCTTCTCTCGGTTTTAGTTGGCGAGCGGGAATCCGACTAAACTGCAATGAAATTTCAGGCTGCCAATCGATTTTGCCGCTGCTGCAGCTTGGGATTTGCCTTTTTTGGGCCTTGGAATGCAGCATGTTGCTGCTGTGTTGCTCTGGCTCATGCTGTTGCTGTTGCTGTTGTGTTGCTGCTGCTGTTGTGTTGCTGCTGCTGTTGTGTTGCTGCTGGTCCTGCTAAGCCCCCGGCTGCAACATCGCGGCAGAAGCAGCTACAGCAACATCCAACGGGAGCAGCAACAATGTGTTCTAAATAAATTCCAGTGAAATGAAATTCAGGGAGCAGGGAGTCGCGCGGGCGCAGATGTATCTTGGAGATACAAATTCTGTACGCTGCGCGCAACGTGATTGCAATCTTTAGCATCGTCATCATCAACAACAACATATATTCCATATATTCAACCGATCAAGGCTTGAGAACTTAACGTTCAAAATTAAAGGAGCTTTATTGCCGTTGACCAATATTTCATTTTATAGTAATTTCAATCAATACATGTACCTTAAACTACACATCCTCCCCGGATACCCTGTAAATACCGGCTAACAGCAAGAAGAAGAGCAACACGAGGCACGAGATTCGAGGCTGCCAAGGCCCCAAAGCCCCAAAGCCCCAAAAAAAGGAAACAAACCACACACACTATGAAGCAGAGAACGTCGACGCCGGAGTCGCGCGTGCGTAGTGCGAGCGGATGGGTACAGTGAAAAAAAAATTGCTTACCAGGATGGAAGGACGGATCCAAAGGCTGGTAAGCGTGGGTAAACAAGTCTCGAAAGGGTTTAATTGAATATGCGCTCCACAGTGCAATTATCGATTCAGTAATCTTTAGATACACAACATCGTCGGTTTCTCGCTGTGCAAATTGTTTGGCTGTGGCTGACTTACCTGTTTGGGTCTTTCCTTTGCTTTTCTTCCTTCAGAGGAGACTTCTTCCTCAGGAACATGGAGAGTCTTGAGGGGGGATATATGGCCGCTAAAAATCGACGAAATCATCCAAGCTCCGTACAGTAGCTGCTGCTTTGGCTCCGTTTGCCCGGCTGCTCTTTTTTTATGTTTTTAATGAGCTTTTATATGAGCTGCCGCAGGATCGGAAGAACCGGCGGCGAGGGGAAGGAATGACCCGGGGCAGCCGAGCTGCATCTCCATGTCAGCCGGAGAAGATGATGGTGCCTTTTGCTTTTTGCTCTTGCGGTCTACCCACAACAAGGCTAGACATCGATTCCTCGGCTATCAATGGATGCACGGTAATGCATTTGGTTCCCATGGGCTCAGGAAAGAAGAGGAGCTCAGGGACTGGTTGCCATATTATTATGGTAACACAGTTTTAGGCAGAAATAGAAATAAACCGCAGGAAACACTTGTTCAAACAGAGGCGTGTGAAGTGTGCGGAATGTGCATAACAATTTCACACATGACACACATCTCAAAACAATTTACTTTAAATCAAGTTACAGTCTATAGCCATCAATGTGGCACCCGAGAATATGAACAAATTTGCTGCTCTATAGTTTAAGTCTATAGTAACCGATCTCAACCGACCGAAAAATCAGTGCATCCAGAACAAAGCCCAAAGTACTTAAAGAACTTGGCACATCTCAGATCGTTCAGAGCGTTCAGCTCGTGCGGCAGAAATATTTGAAAAGCTGGGATAGGGAGAGTCCCGAGTGAGAGGGTAAAATGGAGTATGTGGAACCCGGCGAATACCTTTCTCGACTCAGCTCTCGGCTCACAGCTCAATCTGCAGCTGTCAGGTGTGGCCGGCTAATTGAGAGTCGCGTTACGAGATCATCTTGACACTTTGGAGGCACCTGCCGCCGGACGAGGCGAATCCGGCAATGATTAACTAGTCACTCCGACTGAGGGGCAGGTGAGTTTTGAGCGGTGCTGCAGTTCGCTGGCATGTCTGTGATAAAAATGAAAAGTAAAAAGCCGTCAAGTGCCCGCAAACGCTGACGCATTTCGACCCAAAGGCTGATAAGCCAGTCAACGCGAATGCGAATTCAATGCCAAAAAGAAAACGAAACTCTCCTCGAAAACGGAAACGGGCAAATACAAGATACAGATACAGATAGATACCCGTAGATGTGTAGAATCAGATAGACATGTACACGACAACAAAATGTGGCTGGACTCGCATTTAAAGTTAGAAAACAAACAAGCGCAGAGCATTGTAAATCATTCGTTGAACAGTTTTTGAATAGTCTCTGTTGAGTAGCAACTGGTTTAGAAGTCATTGATTTATAGAGATGAAATATTTCATTAAAATTTCAGCGTAATAAGTTCAATGGAGTATACACATATGTATGAAAAAGGTGCTCAAGTTATCGGTATAGTTAGCAGTGTAGTTTTAGCTTTGTATCCGTTTAGAAGTCAACTATAGTTTGAAAAACCACATCTATAATTCATGAAATTTATTGTTTTTTCGAGTGTGTGAACCGTATGTTTATTCTGTTTTTTGGCACAACTGGAAGCCCAAGCGCGTTATTCAAATTTCGATTAGCATCTTGGTCCCCGAACCGTGGGATCTGTAATCCCCAGCTAAGTAGAACGGGGGGCTCAGCTCTGCGCTTCCCTGGCTGCTTCTAGACTGATAAATATTTGGCTTTTGCATGCCAGCGCGATGAGTTCAACGTCGTCGGACGTTGCTAGTTTAATTTTCAAACATTTATCAACAAATATTTGGCGCTTATCATTTGTTCTAGCCAAACAAAGGGCGGGCGGAGTAGGTGGTGTGGCAGAACACTCCCATTCCCCGCCAGAAGCAACCTTCTCAGATCCAGCTTCAGCTCCAGCATCACCGTTTGCTGACCCGAACACCTGACAAATGCATAATGATTTCACAAACTCCTCCATTCCGGCTTATATTTTGCACAACATTTGCCGAAGCTTTTGTGCTGAGTCCGCTAATTAAATCGTTATATTGGGAAGATGCTTAGATGGGTGGGTCGTTGCTTTAAAGCATTTCAAAACATGAATCAGTTTGCACTGGCCGTAACCGCGGTACGAAATCTAGTACTACTACTCACTAGCTGAAATTTGATTAGCATTACAAAGTGAATGTTAATAATTGCTTTATTTCATCCAGTTTCTTATTTTGAAGCGCCTTAGTAACTTATACTTAAGCACTTATAGCTTGTAATGCACATCCATGAATTGCAGATTGGTGGTTACCTCCGAAGCATCGGGCATCACATCCTTGGCTGCATTCAGATAGGACTTGGCCCCCAAAATCTCTCCGGACTGAGCAGCTAACACAGCCAAGTTATTGAGTGCAGCTCCATGCTGGGCATCTGATGTGAGGCATAGTTGGAGACATCTCTTGGCTAGGTTGAAGTCACCAGAAGTCTACCGAAAAGTGCTCGCACATAAATAATTTACTTATGCACTTTAACCTACTTACCACCGCCACGAAGCTGAGATTATACCAGATGTCTGACTTTTGACCGGGTTGGGTAGCCATGGCCAAAGCTCTTTGGAAACACGGCAGAACCAAGTCGATTTGCCCACCATATAGACAACAGAGCGCTATGTTGCAGTAGAGCTCAGGAGACTGGGCTCCCAAGGACAAAATCCTCCGGTAGTACATCAACTAAGGTAAAGCGGACTTTTCAGTTTGAGGTACATGCACTCGTACTAATTATGATGATAATATTACCGCCATTTCCGGATTGTTGTCGTAAAAATAGCCCACGGCAATGCTGGCCAGAGATTCTACATTGATGGGATGCAGCTTGGCCACTAGTCTGTACAGCTGCAGTGCGTCCTCCTGCTGCTCCATGGCCTGGTGGATTCTCGCCTGCTCCAGTCGGTAGGTGACGTCAAAGGGACGCGAGTCCACCACTTCGCCGATCACGAATAAAGCACGCTCGGGTTGCTTTATCCTTTGGTATACTCTGGACAGGAGTAGATAGGTGTCCGGGTGGGGAAAGCTGGCCAGGGATTGCTGAAGAAAGGGCTCCGCTCTTCGAGGATAGTGCAGGGCAAGAAGACAACGGCCCATCTGTTGTTGCCACCACCAGGACAAGGTGCATCCAGTGGACCCACTGGGCTTCTGGCGCTCAACTTCCAGGACCACTTGACAAAGGGAGTGGGCTTTTTGTACATCCGCTTCGTGGTAGTAGAGGAACTGGAACAAGGCCTTCACCAGCGTTTCCCGTTCGGCGTATATGGTGGGATTCAGGCGCGATGCCTGGTACAGCTTAGAAGTGGCATCACCTACATTGAAAGCCGCTGCCGAGGTGGCTCGGATCCTGGAGGCGGTGCCGCAACGAGATCCCAGTGAGGATCCCGGTCGACTGAGACTCGTTCCAGGACGAGCCACTGCCGCCGATCCTGGCCGGGAACTATTTATGCGGCCATCACTGGAGCGGGCCACTCCGGAACCCCTGCTCCTCGCCTGCTGCGCCCTCTGACTGGTAAGGGGGCGTGGCTGGAAAGCGGTCTTTATGCTGCTTCCTGGTCGAGCAGCAGTGGCAATGCGCTCGAACTCCACTTCCTCGGTGGCTGCCAGAAATGGCCAATTATTAAACAATTAATGGGTGATCGAGAAACCAAAAAAATGTCACCTGCTCACCCTCATTCCCGCCATCGTCCTCGTCCAGGTCGTCCACGTACACGCGCTGCGTCAGAGCGCGCATCTTTAATTGCCACACGCCCTCCATCAGCCAAGTGGGCATCGTGATGGACGGCCCAGAGTCGGCTGCCCCGGCTCCACCTCCAGCTGCTCCCCTTGGCCTAGGGCCAATGCGTTGCAAATTGCTACCGAATCTGCTGTGCTCCGCCTGCTGCTGCTGGTGCTGCTGGTGCTCCTCCTTCTCCTCCTCTTTGGTGGTGAACAGTTGGACATGGCCATCGTGACCGGCCTGCAGGAGCGCGTTGCACAGCTCCGCACAGCGCTCGTAGGACCGTCGACGGTAGAGGGACACCGCCCTGAAGTAGTCCAGCTCCAGAGTCGCCAGCATCGCTGATGTCCTTAGTTGTTACACTCGGAAAAAACTGCACACAATGTTGTGTGCCGTACATAGAAGGAATGCATTTGGTTGGTCAGGAAGAATGTTCTTTTTTAGAAATCATATTTAAATGAAAAAAAATTATGGCATGAAATTTGTATGTTCCCGAACACATAATTTTTCTCAGTATCTTGTGTATCTGTGTCCGATTCAAGTGTTTGAATTCCTCGGCTGGGTTCCTTTTTTCGGGCTCTTCTGCTGCGCTTCGATCGCTGGAATTTTAAAACCGGATGCGTGTCATTCCTCTGCCCCTCCAAGACCGAAAATCCAGGGGCATCAGGAATGCGGCTGCTGCTTCCTGCGGTTCATCTCCCTCCTCCACTCTCCTCTGGACTCCTCTGGGTTCCAATCTGGTCTTAGTTCTTGGCTCGACTCCATGCCATCTAATTTTTCTATGCCCATAATTTGTACTTCCCGCCTACCTCTTTTCCACGGGACTTAATTTGTAGATTCCTCCGCTGCTGCGGTTTCTGGTATCGACTGACTTGGCCTCTAGCAGGTATACTCGTAAATAGGTGTATACGCGCCATATGGAAAGGGTCTTCCGGTATGGTTCGGATTGGTTAGGTTCGGGGTACGAGGTTATTACCATGGATACCTGGTCGGCCAAAACATTAATTGCTTTGCAGTGCGCCTGTTCCTGTCTCTGGGGAGTCACCCTGTTGGGACAATCTGGCATTCTGACCACCCTGTGGATCTACCAAACTTCTAATGTTCATTTGGGCTCTAATCACTACGAGTTACTGGTGTTCCACAGGTAGTATAACCAATTAGTTTCTTGATTCGTCTTCCGGAATGCATCTGCATCTGCTTATTGGGAAATTAAATTGTTTATAGCACAGTTTACACAGTGCTCTCGTACAATTTTATTAACTAAATGAGTACAATAAAATACATTAGAGTTTAATATCGTTAATATCATGGACACACAAATGTGCTATGGATTTCTGGGGAGAGTCCCCTCCCAGTGTCCCCATTTATAAATGTAGTATTTATTTATTGTTTAGGGTCTCTGCAGCCAATCGTAGATGGGGTCCAAGCCCACTTTGGTGACGGCGCTGGCCTCCACGATGGTCACCTGCTGGCGAATCTGCTTTTGCAACTTTTGCATCTGCAGCATGAGCAGAGCCTCGTTTCGCATCTGGCGGTAGGAGTAATCCATTTTGGCCAGAACCAGCAGGATCTTAGTATTATGCCTGTGACGAATTTAACTAGTGCATGAGTTTTCAGTTCATTTTCTCCCTAACTTACTGCAAACGCGGCTCGGTGAGGATTGAATAGAAAAGAACGCCGGCGGCTGAAATCTGACACAGATTAGAGGTGTCCACCACATAAATCAGCTTCTTGACGTCCTCGAAATACTGCCTCCACAAGGGGGCCATGCTCCCTCCAATTTCCAGGATCTGTATGGATTTGGGCAGATTCTTCCCGCCATGCGGAATGTTAGCTTGAGTTTCTGCCGGAGGCGGCTTGTGTTTATCGCCATTTGGCGATTTCGTTGGGAAATGGATTCGGTATATCCCAGTGCCAATGGTGGGCATGGAAAACGTGGTCTCGTCGATGGATTCCGGATCCTGTAAAGCTTTCAGTAGGTGCGTTTTGCCCGCTCTTTTGGGGCCCAAGCAAATGCAGGTGGACATTGCTGTTAATATTTACTTAATGTATGGATCTAACAAAGGTAGCCTTGGTTACCATAATATAATAATAATAACAATTAATTAAATTAGAATTGAACAATTTAGTTCAGTAAACACGTAAGTGTTTTTATTTCTTCTTTATCTTATACTTTAAAAATTTGAAAATTTTTTAACATTTTAAATTCGTGGAATCAATATAGCTTTATCGAAATCTTATGTCAGCAGTTAACATTTTAAGCGCAAGATGGCGCTCTTAAATATCCCAATAAAAAGTTCGCTGCAAAAGTTTGAACCATTTGGCCACACTTCATGTGAACACATCGAAGCTTAATATTATCGATGAAAAATCGATGTTTCTTGCATCGCTTTTTCATGCTGCCTCATCGTAAACAATATCAACATTGTTTCAAACACTCTTTTATTTCGCTCAAAAATGACCCATGCAGCAGACAAACCTCGAGCAATCGGATTCGACAGGCAGTTCTCAGCGGACGTGAATGGTGTGCCCACGGAGATAGTGTTCCACGGCTTCGCCAACAAGTGGTTCTTGGTCATAACGCAGCTTGGCAAGATTCCCGGCATCTACAACGTGCACTTCGATGTCCAAAGGGACGAACGTGTGGTTCCCTATCTGCACGGACCAGTGGACAATCCGGAGTTCCATGTATCGGTGCCCATCACGATGAACTGCTGCTTGGGTTTGGACACCGATGAGACCCGCAGCGCCATCCAGTTCCTGGTCAACAAAACCGGACTCCACAAGTGCCCGACGGATTTTGTGGTGGGCTTGGGTCTCAAGCAAATCGACGGACCCAACCTGCGCGCCCTAGCAAAGGTCATTGAGGAGGCGATATTCTAGTTTACGTTTGTTATATCCAATAAATATAGGCTGTATGACAGCGTTTGTCAAACTTTCTTGAAGATCCACCGACTAATCCACCTAAGCTTGACCAATTAAAGGCCTGTTCTAAAGCAAATTCTTTTAGGTGCCTAACTATATACCGTTTCACCGTTTAAAAAAATAGTCTCAATAGTTTTTTAGGAAACGTCTTCTATATTTCCCCGAATTTGTACATTAAAAAGTGTAACGCAGTTCGGGAAACACGGCACACGTCTACCTCTCGAGGATTACAGCACAAACACAACGGATGTCCGGTTGTCGAGAAGTTCTCTAGAGGATTTAGTCAAACAGACCAAAGCCCATGTCGTCGTCAGACTGGTCGGACTCCTCCTCCTTCTTCTTCTCTTCCTTCTTGGACTCGGCGGCTGGAGCAGCGGCGGCGGCAGCGGGAGCAGCACCACCGGCAGGGGCGGCACCAACTCCGGATCCGATGTTGGTGATCAGGTCCTTGACGTTGATGCCCTCCAGGGCCTTGGCGAAGAGACCGGGCCAGTAGGGCTCCACCTCGACGTTGGCGGCCTTCAGGATGGTGTTGATCTTCTCACCCTGGTGAATCCAAAAATAAGATCAGCACATGTTGCAGCAGTGCAAAACAAACCGTAGGACACGCATATTGTCCAATACTTCCGGCTGATGGCCAAGGCTTTGGAGGATTTGCGGCGTCCCCGATTGCGAAATTGAAAAACTTACGGTGACGGCGACATCGTCATCGACAAGGATAAGGGAGGCGTAAACGCAGGCGAGCTCGGCTTTGGTGGACATGTCGAAGTGCTGTGGCTAATCACTGATTGTGCAAGTTGCCAAAAATTAATTGTTTATAACAAATGGCCTTAGCTCGGGACGAGAACAAGCACGCTGGTCAAAATCCTAAACCGGAAAGAGCAGTTGATATGCAGTGTGACCGCGCCGAAGACGAAAAAAAATACCAATCGTTTGTATTTGTTTTTATTTTCAGAAAATACTAGTTCTAATACTAGTTCTCTTATTTGAACAAGTTTCCTTTTACACTCTTTGAATAGTAGCTTAGAACCCTTCTTGGCTTCTACGTTTTTGTCTATTTAAGCAACAGAGTTCCTAATATTTGTATCAGTTTTTCTCGTTGTGACTTGCGATAGGGATAGGGATAGATGATTAGCCGTAATGTTATTGAGAACATTGAAAAAGGACATTTCGGTATAATGACAAAAAAGTCACACTGTATATATATGTATGTACAAAATTTGTGTGCCCGTGCATAAACGTAAACAAAAAAAAGCGCGCAAAATGTCGGACCAAGAAGATTTAGTGGTAAAAAAGGAAAATAAATCTATAGATAATATTGATGAGAATGACGAGGAGTCAAATGATAAGGATTTTAAGGACCGTGGGAAAATAAGCAGCCTGGCGGCCTTGGGACCATTTATAGCCAGCAAGGAGAACAGCCGGAACACGATTTACCTCAGCGATGTTCCGGATGTCTGCAAGGATAAGCCGTGCATGCTGGGCGTGGATGAAGCAGGACGTGGTCCCGTCCTGGGACCTATGGTATATGGGATCTCCTACTGTCCACTGGAAAGCAAAAAGCCTTTAGAAGACCTGGGATGCGCAGATTCCAAACAACTAACCGAGGAGAAACGCGATATCATATTTAACGATATAAATACCAAGGATTACGCCACCAGTTGCATTGGCTGGGCCGTGGAGATTATATCGCCAAGCACGATCAGCACCAGCATGTACCGGCGCTCGAAGTGCTCCCTGAACGAAGTTTCCATGGACTCGGCCATGGGCTTAATCCAACAGGCGATCGATGCGGGCGTCAATATTGCCGAGGTTTACGTGGACACGGTGGGTCCCCCGGAGAAGTACCAGGAGAAGTTGCTCAAACGTTTCCCCAGCTTTAAAATCACCGTAGCCAAAAAGGCTGACTCCACCTATCCAATAGTCTCTGCTGCTAGTATTTGCGCCAAAGTCACACGTGATCATGCCCTCAAGGTTTGGAAGTTCCCCGAGGGTCTGGTCATTAAGGATAACGCGTTTGGCAGTGGATATCCGGGAGATCCGGTCACAAAGAGATTTTTGGCCGAGCACATCGATCTAGTGTTTGGATTTCCACGACTTGTGCGCTTCAGTTGGTCCACCGCGGAAAACGCGCTGGCGGACAAGGCCTACGACATGGAGTTCGACGAGCCGGATTCCGAGAAGGCAAAGTTCGCCGGCACCAAGCTCACAAAGTTCTTTAAGGGTACAACAAAATCGGGCGAAGTAATTCGCGAGGAATGCCGCTTCTTCAAGCAACGACACCTGGGAAATGTCATGGATTTTTAGCAACAAATAAGGATTTCATTTAATTTAGTAGGAATATCTCAATTTGTATATTTGGTGCAGTCTGATTTTTGTTGCGCATACATCTTTTAATTATAAAGAATAGAGTTTGAGTCAACTTCTTTAGTAATAAGTTTTAAAATAAACAAAAAAGCCCAGTCCCAAAACGAAAACAACTTAATTTGGATCTTTAATGTATTTTTGCTGATGTTTCTGTGTTTCCGCCAATCTCGTGTTCTTAATAATTACGTTCGATTACAGACTACGTGGGACTGCAGTTACACTGTTCTGAATGTATGCGTAAATAGGTCTGATCTGATCTCGTGACATCCCTTTTTTGGAGGACAACTGTGGGATTGGGTAAAGGACTTTTGGAGGGGAGTTCGCTGGCATCTTTGATCGACACAATAACAAAATGCAGTTATACTAAACGATTTTTGTATAAAAAAGGGACGACCTTAGAAACATAGAGCTTATGATTAAGATTAAAATGAGGCGAGTCGCATCCCGCTGATCGGAAGAGAACAACAACCAAGTTGGAGCCCCTAAAATCCCAGGTGCATATTGATATTTTGTGACTCCAAACTAAGCGTACGAAATAGACGTGGACAAAAGCGGGAGGATCTCAAGAGGTGTACCTTAAACAGCTAATTAGAACTTATAGCAATTACAAATACGATTGCAGGGCGGGATAGCTAAGAAAGGAGTTACCAAAGGTCCGGGCTCCAGATCCAAATCGATTTATGTTGGTAGAATTGAAACTGACGATATTTCACTTCTTTAGAAAATATAGTTAAATTCAATATTTGAATCAAAATTAAAAGTAAAAACTTCTCGTTCCTTATGAAAGTGAAAAACTACTGATTCCATTTTCACCAAATAATCAGTTGGAAAAGGAGTCGTGACTGCTTTAAGCGTTGGCTTAATAGACGAAATCCAGTTGTGGCTGCTCCGGCAATCAGAACTTTCGCAGGTCCAACACGAAAACGCTACCATCGGAGGCACTGGCGCCGACCTTAGTGCCTTTGGAATTCCAGCAGACCTCAAAGATGCCGCCCGTGCCCTTGTAACTGTGAACCAACTGTCCCGTTTGCGTGCTCCAAATGTGTACGCACTTGTCGAAGCTGCCGGAGGCCAAATGCTTTCCATCCGGACTAAAGGCCACAGAGTAGACTGGCTCCGTGTGCTTGGTGAGCGTGTGGATGCAGCTGCCCCTCTCCACGTCCCACAGTCTTACCGTGGAATCGAACGAAGCGGATGCGAGGATTAGGTTTGTGTTTGGATTATTGGTGCCCGGCCCCGTGGGCGACCATTTTATCGTATAGATCTCCTTTGAGTGAGCCTGCAGATCGTGGCAGCAGCGATCTCGGTTCATGCTCCAGATCTTGAGGGTCATGTCATCAGAGCAGGATGCCAGCAGCTGGCCCTGCGGACACCACTTAATTGCGTTCACCTCGTTTGTGTGTCCTTTGAAGGTCTTGATGGGCTCATTTACACCCAACCGGCACACATGAATCCGCTGATCCGTACTGCAAGATGCAAAGGCCTGGTTTGTCTGCCAGTCCACATCCAAGGCTGGAGCACTGTGAAAGGCGAATTGCTGCGTGCATTGGCCGGTGGATGCGTCCCAGATGATCGTCGTCTTGTCCACGCCAGCCGAGAGGATGTAGTTACCACACTTATTCCACTTCAAAGCAAAGATCGGACCCTTGTGTTGTCCCAAAGTAGATGCAAGTCGACCGTCGGTCTTCCAAATTCGGGCGTAGCCATCGTAGCTGCCGGTCGCGAGCAGGGAGCCATCGCACTGTAACAAAGATAGTGGATTAAAAACGGATCAGAAAACAAACTTCGCAATGCTTAAACGCCAAGATCTCCGACTTACATTCCAGTCCAGTGAGGTGACATCTTTGTTGCTAGGCACCTCAGCGCCGCCTTTCTGTATGCAGTGTCGCAGTACCAGCTGGTTAGAGTTAGTGTTTGCATCGGACATATCCCATATCCTGGCAGTGCTGTCTCCCGAACCGCTTGCCAGTAAATCCCGACTGGGATTCCAGGCGCATATAAACACCTCGCTCTCGTGGCCGCGTAGTACACGAGCCTTGGATTCGGGTATTTCGATGCTCTCGTCAATGTCCATGGGCACAAGAGCTGCGGGAGTCCCAGCACCTCCGCTGGTGGACGAGGAGATGGTTCCACTGGGAGCAGAGCTTTGTGCACTGGACGAACCAGACTGCACGTTGTTTCCTTGGGCTCCTACGCGAATCGTAACTGCTCCACTGGGCGCCTTGGATCCTGCTGCTGTCGAAGCTCCCCCCGATGCTGCTGCGTCCGGATTGGAGGTTGATACAGTTCCGCCAGCGGGCGTCACCCCGCTTGAGGGCTGCTCTACGCTGCTGGAAGTGCTGCTGTTGCCATTTGTGGAAGTTGAGGAGGCTGCATCATCTGTGCTGGTGGCATTCGCATTGCCTGCATTGCCGCTAGATGAGCTTCCCGCTTCATTGGAGTTCTGTGATTTCTTTTGACTTGCCCCAGGTGCTGTTGAATCTCCACCAGCTGGTGTGCTTGTGTTGTTGGCACCTCCAGTACTGGCCTGATTGCCTCCAGCTCCATTGTTTCCAGCGTATGTGCCGCCAGTGCTATTCGCCGGGTTTCCACTGGAGTCCACTTCGCTGGCCGACTGATCGGTTGGCGTGCTGGTGCCCGTGGTGCTGCCAGCTGTCTTGTTTCCACCTGCTGAGCCCGCCACTCCGGTACCCGGTTCGATTTTGATCTCTGGCTTGGCGTTGTTGTTCTGGTTGCCACCCGCAGGTGCAGACGAGTCGACTGGACCGGGCTTTCCCGGCTCTGTTTTCACAATGATCTTGGGTGGCTTCACCTCCGGCATGACAGCGTCTATTAGAGAGAGTCCCTCAATGGGCCGCGCTACCTCGCCGTCCTCGCCTACGCTCCACTCCACTTCGGTATAAAGAAGACCCTTCTGCAGGATGGTGAGCAAGGCGGCCGGTGGAACCAATGCGCCATTGATATTACTTTGCGAGATGTGCGACTCGATGCCAAACACGTAAGCAGAGTGCAGAAAGCCTAGAAAACGGGATTACGGGAGATAAGGGCGGGTTTTAATTGTGCGGACTTTGCGACTCACCTGACTCCTGCAGGTATCGGTAAACCAGAAAGTTCACCTCGTCGCTTGAAAAACTCATGGCGGAACTCGGTTGGCTCCTACTCCTACTACTAGCTCACTCCAAAATCCACTCCAATCTCCAATGCCAATTATGTTTTTACGGTGCGAAAATCGGAACTGTGCTGCGTAACACATGCGTCTGCATTCGGCACGCTTATCACTTGGGCGCAAGCCACGGTATCCGGAGCTACTCCTAGTACTTGGATCGATCTGGTGGGTCCTGTGTTCTCAATTCTGCCAGTTTGCTGCTTGCCGCAAGAGCACTTCACATATTTTTTCCACAAATAAAACCCAGGAATCGAAAACGCGTTTCTGAAACGCGCAAAAAAATGGCGGAGTAATCTCAAGGTGTGCGCTGTGAGAGGTTGCGCCGCATTGCATTTTGTGACGTCACAAGTTTCACAACAGACCAAAAATGATACAAA